TTAATTTTTATACTAAACTGTGTTGATTACCATGTTCTTGTTGACATCATGACGGTGTCAATTTTTACTCCATTCATTACTCAACTCCGGAATTAATGTCTGCATGCATCCACACCGAAAACCGGTGTGAACTTGCTTTTACTCCTGGCGGTGTGGACTCAGAGTCGAAATTCACGCAGATTTTTTTACTGAGGGGAAGAGAGCCGCAATCAATGTTTCCATGGGAATTTTGGTACCTCTCATAAATTTCGAAATATCCATAGATATATTTTTTAAAAGCCCCTGAGCAAAGTTAAGGATTCAACGAAAGTTGATTTTCTTATATATCAGGACTAGGGGGGTACGCTTCCTGCTCACTTCGCTCGCCAACTTCCAATTGACCCTAATACAACCCCAGATGACCCTTGACCTTTATTTTGACCCTTGTGACCCTTAATCCGACCCTCGTGATCCTTATTCTGACCCTTAATTATGCAGTCTTAATTTCGAGTACCAAATTTTCATCATCAGAAGTTGATTTGGATTTTTATAATACCAGATTAGTCTGCGCGCGTATGTCCTACTCCATGGGCCTTAAGGATGGTACTACACGGAGAGAAATATTCAGTAAAAATGACGTATCTTTTCCGTAATTTCGGAGCGAAATGTGGTTGTAAGAAATTTTACGGAACTGTCACGGAATATTTCCGGAGCTTTCCGTAATTTTTCTCTGAATCTCCTGTGAAAAATTACGATACCGGCACTTAAATTTTCTGAGTTGATTCCATAATCGGTGAATGAATTGTGAGTTCCGTAATTTTTAATGAATATATCTCTCCGTGTACACCCTTTCGGCCAAAATTCACGTTTTTTTTTCATTTTTCTGGCAAATTATTGATCGGATTGACGCGAAATAATATGCCGTTTTTGCGTTTTATCATTATTGACTGACTCACGAAGTTTCATAGTAGGGCAATCATTTTCCTGGATTTTTCTAGTTTTGTGGAATTCCGAAAAGTTTTAGAATAGCATTTTCTTTTGCGACTATTCAATCGATGAACGATTTGGATCAATCCTAGAATTTCTATTTTTTAGAAATTTTTTTTCTCAGTGTATCGTAATTTTTCACAGAAAATTCAGATTCTTTTTCCCATCCCTTCGCATCGGCATTTTTGCATCCACAGATATGATGTTTTTCCAAACAAATCGTAAAATATTCTCCGCAAAACTATTTCATTGAATTACATTGCACTCCACAATCAGCTTTCATACTGTAAAATTTGTCGACATTCTACATAATTTTTTCACCGTGCGGAGTGACCGAAAAATGGATGTGAAAAAGTGGAAGTCACCGAATTATTCAAAAATCAAAAATATGTGTTCAGCCAATGAATAGCACGGAAATCCCAAAGATAACGGTCACCCCGTTCTTATTATTCCGTACATAATAGTACATAGAGGGTATTTTCACATGCGACGTGAGTCATCCAAAGAAAACATATGGACTTCTATTCCATGAAACCGAAGAAAAGAGTTGTTTGAATTTACAAGTGGCCCAATATGCTTGTCCAAGGGCCCAGCTGCATGGATTTCTTTAATACATTCCCCACAAGTGAAGGATTCTATTTTTAAACGTGAGGCTCGTTACTCCATGCACACGGTGACTCAATACCGCAGACAGTTGTTTTCTTCCATCTTTCTTCTTCCCATCATTATGACGGTTTGGTTCAATCAACATTGCTAAATTCATGGGCCGATCCGGTGCAGGGAAACCGATGCAATTGGGAGGAATGCTCATCGATTGAGATGTTATATCATGCTGGGAGTTATTCGCTGTTATGTGTGTGGTACACAGTGTTTTCTTTGCTTCCTTGTGTTCTTGGAATCCACGCGTAGGATCATTAATTAGTAGAACACAATTTATTTAATGAGCGCACGTGACGACGCATTCCACGTTTTTATCGACCAGTAAATGGAGTAGGCACTTGATATTCATTTGATTCACTCCATCGTTTCATCAATTTGCATCATAAATTCCAGTCAAATTAATATTTAATTGGATTTAAGTAGGGGATTGAAGCAATTGTCGGTGGAGAGGTCGACAGGCTGTTCGAAATCCGCCTCTTGAGCCAAATATTTCGTTGTTGTTGGAAGCAGAGCAATTAGTCATGATTTTCTCGGCGCAAACAAAATTTGTTAGAGAAGTTGTTCATTTTTCTGGCAGCGTATTGAAAAATTCCAGAGCTTTACTGCGCGTCACGTAAAAGTCAATTGAAAACCTAGCGAATTCGCTAGAAAATTCTGTTGGAATTCTGCAGGAATTCTATGGGGTTTCTATAGGATTTCTATTGGAATTCAATTGAACAATTGAATTATTCGTTTTTTGCGCTAATTCTATTGGATATTCGATAAGAAAAAGTCAGCAGATTTCGAATTTCTGTTTGAATTTTTCTCTTGAGATATTTTCTATAAGAATGCTTGGGCATCCATTTTCTAAGTTTTTTCCACTCGGATTCTGGAATGCAAAACGAAACAAAATTCAGCGGAAAAAACTTAGAACATTTGTCTAAACGAAACTGATGTTCTCGACCATATCCTTTCAAATTATTGCAACAATTAGAAAATTTGTGCCCAATAATTCTAATACAAAAAATCCAAGAGAAAAATTCACACAGAAGTTTGAAATCTATTGACTTTGTCTTATGGAATATCCAATAGAATCGGCGCAAAAAACGAATAGAATTTTTCAATCGAAATCCCACAGAATTCCTATAGAATTCCAATACAATTTTCTAATGAATTCGCTAGATTTTCAATTGAATTTTTTCATGTGTGGTTCTTTCAATTGAAATGTTCAATGGGAAATATTCTGTGGAAAATATTAATAGAATTCAATTATTCCATACAACTTGTTCTATTGAAATATTTTCGATAGAAATTCCTGGGATCAAATTTTCTCAAGTTTTCCGTTTGATTTTTTTTGTTTTTGAAAAGAGAAGAAGAATAGAATGAAAAATGGGTGGAAAACTCATGTCAAGGATTTCCTATTGAAAGTGTCTAAATAGAACAAGTTGTACAAAATGATGAAATTTTAGTGATTCTATTGATTTTTCTAATTTTGTCTTAATTTTTGTAATGAGAAACGCGAAAAAATGCATCAAATAAATGAAAAAAATTTATGCCCAAGAATTTCGATAGAAGATATCTCAAGAGAATAATTCGTTTTTGCAATAGAAATATTCAACGGAAAATATGAATAGAATTCAATTATTCTATACAACTTATTCTAGTGAAATATTTTCGATAGAAATTCCTCGGCTCAATGTTTCTAAATTTTTCGTTTGATTCTTTCATGAAAAAAATGAAAAATAGAGTGAAAAAAAATGGAAAAACGCAGGTCGCAGAATTTCTATAGAAGAAATGTCAAAAGAGGAATGCATTCTTTCAATAGAAGGGTTGAATGGAAAATTTCTGAAAAAACAAATTAATAGAATTCAATTATGCTATGCAACGTTTTCCATTTTTTCGTTTTCTTTCATCTTGAATTTTGTGATGAGAAATACAAAAAAATGCAGTAAAAAAACGTAACAAATTAATGCCCAACAATTTCTATAGAAGAACTCTCAAGACAATAATTCACATAGACAATTAAAATCTTTCGCCGCATTTAGATGACAAATGAATAAAAAATCATACGGTGATACTGGATATTTTCCAATCGAAAATACAATTCTTAAATGTTATTTTCCCTTGAATTTGTCCATGCATGTTGAAGCCAAAATAATTAGGTGCAGTAACACAGGTCCAGGTCACAATTCAGTCATGGCCACTCACACATAATACCCAAGATACTTTATGGCTCGGGTATTTGCGTTCGAGGTGAACATCAGAGCCATTAATGGGATATTAAATACTCCAGTTCCTTAAATTCGTGCAACTGAGTCTCACTGATGCTAAATTTAGATTTTTAAAATATTGCTTCACGTTAGCAATGATTCAACATGACATGTCTGATGGCCGTGATGATACTCCACCGATTCATTTGCAATCATTTGCCTATAGCACACTATTGAGTGCCAGATATCCCATCCGATCAAACGGAGTAGTCGAAGAACTATTCAGAGTAGAAAAATGAAGATTAAAAAATTTCCTAGAAAATCCTAGCGCATTCACTGGGAAATCTCTTTGCATTTCTGTAGGAATTGTAGCGCAATCTCTATTAGTTTTTTGCAGATCCTACGCGAAAAATTGAGCGCATTTTTAAAGTAGGATTTTGAATAGAAAATATTTGACAGAAAAATTAACAAAATTTCATTTTCTATACATTTTTTTCTATTGCAATATTTTCTGTAGGAGTTCCACGTTTTTTTGTTCGTTTTGTTTTTTAATGAGGGGCACATGAATAAAGAGATATGAAGATTGAAAAAAAAATGTATCGAAAGCTCTACTTTTTTTTCGCAGATCCTATCGGAAAAATCCAGCGGCTGTTTTCAGTAGAAATGTTCAATAGAAAATATTTAATAGGACAAATCAATAAAATTTGATTTTCTATCCAATTTCCTCGATTGCGAAGGTTCTATAGAAGTTCCAAGTTTTATTGCTCGATTTGTTCAATAAGGAGAACATAAATAAACAAATAAATAAATAAATAAACATTTGAGAAATAAAAAAAGCAATATTTTCTATAGAAATTCCTTGAAAATAATTTTCTGTAGGTTTGTTTTTTCATTCTTTTTTCCTCTTCTAATAAAAAAATTCAAACAAAAAACGTGGAAAATTTCGATCGAGAAATGTCTATAAATAATATCTCAATAGAATCAATTGTAAGAAAGATAAAATTCTATTTATTTCATCTATAAAGTAGCTTCTATTAAAAATATTCTATTAAAAAAATGCGCAAAAAATACAGAATATTCAATAGAATCGGGAAAACATTAATAAAATTTTCAATAGAATTCCAATAGAATTTCCCATGGAGTTTTCTCGTTCGTGTCTCTTTCATCGTGAATAATTTTTTTCAGATTGGATAGAGTGGTTCCACCAATGCAGTCAACATGGATTCCAACGTTGGTCTTGACTACATCGTGGACAACCCTGATTACTGCAATAAACTCGCTTCAGGTAATTTAGAGCATTCAATGATAAAATATGCAATTGAATGAACTTTTCATGTTTTCCATGCAGCTCTGGATACTGCCTGTACAGCAGTGAAGAAGCAAGTGGTGGAATTACTGTCAGCCCTGTGTGTGTACAGCCACGATGGTCGACAACGGGCTATTGACACTCTTCATATTTACCAGGTAATTTAAATAGTTTTTCCAAAAATCCTAGCATAAAAATTCTTTTCGCCATATATTGACCCCCATAAAATTCCAACGGGGAATCCACCCATCCGGTTTTCGCACCTCGCTCATTCGCTTCAGTCACAGGTTCACAAGATCATCACAAATCGCTTTAAAGTAGCTCTACCCTTACAGTAAATTCAAAGATTATTCAAAACTGCAAGAAAATTGCAGAAAACTCGATTAGATTCGGAATTCTAATTTTTTTCTCAATTTAATTATCGTTTTGCTTTTTCAAAGAAGAAATGTTTAAAAATCAGGATTTAACCCAGTGTCTTATGTGAAAATCAACATTTCCATTGTAATCAAAGATTAAAATCCGATTTTTTTTCATTAGATGTGAAAAATCAAGAATTTTTTTGACACCTCATAAAAAATAATCCACCGTTTTGTATACAAGTTTCATTATTTATTTATAAGAGGGAAATCTTTGAAAAAATATCAATATTTTGCGAAATTTAATTTAGATAATCCTGACTGGGAATGAATTTTTTCAAATTTTTTCCATGCAATTCAGTTGAAAAATTTAAAAACTGAAAATATCCAAAAGTAAGCGCAGCCCGGCCGAAGGATAGAGCTACTTTAAGGGGTCTCCTCAGTACGGCAAAATGGGGATAAGCGCGCGGCCGAGTGGAGCGTAAAATGGTTAAGTGAGATTATTTTTGAGAGAGACGAAACATCAAACACGGCGTACGTTGGATAGTGACAGACATCGTGCCAATTATTTTTATCGTTAATTTACTCAGCAAATTAGTGGCAAAACTCGATGAGACTTCATTCTCTTATTTTCGAGAGTTTAATATAGATAAATATAGCTTCCTTTGTTGGCTAATACATTGTCAACAGGGTGAGGGGTAAGAACAAAATAGCGATCATAAAGCCCATGTATAAGCAGAAATTTGAATGATTAATTAAAAACGAACGAAACGATAAAACTACTCGAATTTTTTTTTACAACTTTTTTTTTACCATTCTTGATTATTATATTACCTACACTGAGAAAAAAAAAATTTTTTACCAAATATTCATTTACTTGAGAGAAGTATTTCTTTTTTCAAAATCGTATTTCTCCAATCGAGTCATTCCCAGGTGAGCCTGATTAGGTTTCAATTATAACAATCATGGTGCTTTAAAGGATGATTATATTCCACATGACCTTGGAGGGACTCGCCCAATGATTATTCACTCTTTCTAAATTTCGTATTTTCTAGAGAGAAGAATTTCGATTAATTTTTTAATGTTGATAATTATTGAAGGAGGTCACTCAAGGACATAACCACCAGGTTCATCTTCTAGAGCAATATAATTGACATAATTAAACCTAATGAGAATTGCCTGAGAATGGCTCGAATGGAGAAATACGGTGTTGAAAAAAAAAATTCTTCCCTCAAGTAAATGGCTATTTGGCAAAAATATTTTTTCCATCACGCTGTGACGAAAAGTGAACTTTTCGGCACGCTCCGCGTGCCTAAAAGTCCAATTTCCGCCACATTGTGATGAAAAATATTGTTCGTAACTCGTGAAAAAATGTTTTTTAGCTCGTGGGATTATATCACTCGCCTTCGACTCGTGATATAAACCTTCCACTCGCCAAAAAACACTTTTTTGCACTCGTTACGAAATATACTATTTTTTGTCAGTGTATTCAGTTTGCTGGTACATTGTCGTTTAGTGGCGAAAGTGACTGAGGTGACCCCTTAAGGGGAAACGGAACCCCTGCATTTATGTGAATCTTTAGAATTGTGTTTTCCCCTGCAGTTATTATTTTTTATTCATTAAACTACTTCATTGACTCAACAATGCGATAATCGAGTCGAAATAGTATATTTCGTAACGAGTGCAAAAAAGTGTTTTTTGGCGAGTGGGAGGTTTATATCACGAGCCGAAGGCGAGTGATATAATCCCACGAGCTAAAAAACATTTTTTCACGAGTTACGAACAATATTTTTCATCATAATGTGGCGGAAATTGGACTTTTAGGCACGCGGAGCGTGCCGAAAAGTTCACTTTTCGTCACAGCGTGATAAAAAATATTTTTCATCACAATGTAGCGAAAATTGGACTTTTAGGCACGCGGAGCGTGCCGAAAAGTTCACTTTTCGTCACAGCGTGATGAAAAAGTAATTTCATAGATAGAAATTAATAATTGTAGGAGAAAACACAATTCTAAGATTTGATGTAGACAAAGGGGTTCCGTGTCCCCTTAAGCTACATAGGGAGCGGACTTGTTCATTCATGGCGACTCGCGTTCGTCCAAGAATAAATGAACCACAAAAGTGGAAGAAGTATATCTGGTCTGGGGAAAAAAATTGTAACAGATTCTATTCCCACTGAAATAGAGTGGAATCTACCCCACAGAGATGCTGTCGGATGAATGAAAACACTGGGCATGTGACGCTCATAAACATCAAGTTTTTTTCTGTTTGGATTCCTATTATAGTATTGTTCCAGCGTGGGGGCGGAAAACCCGCCTTTTTCTACATTGTTTAGGGACAATAAAGAGGCTCTTTCCATACTGCTTCTCACGATCTCTCGCCCGGGAATTGGTTTTGCATATTTCCCGACTAGCGGAGAATTACCGGAATTTTTTTAACGTTTTTACAGGTTTTCATAGAGTAAAAGAGAATTCCGCGGGGTTGGAAGACAATTACGATTCGAAAGGTCTTCGAAAAAATCCGTCGAAAGCCAGAAAAGGTTTCGAAAGTCTTCCAGAGGTTAAACCGTAATGAAATATTCGACTTGGGCAACTCCGTGGACAGCCCTGGAAACCTCCTAAACGGGACGTAACTAGAATATTTCAGTCCGCACTTTTCAAGTGAAAATATTCTACCCGGGTAGGCAGAAAAAGACCTAGGAATGGATTCCGCTCCACGATTACTCGACTTGTTTGGTAATTTTTCTCCAACTTTTTTCTCCGTGTTGATATGTCTCTCGAACAAGAAATAATCTCAATCCCCAATGTCTAGTTCATGAAATTCAAAGGAAGATCTCCAGCAGGAAAGAGCAAAATCTATGACATGAAGAAACTACTGTGAACATGACGACAATAAAAATCCTGTCCTGTTCTCTTCAGATTTCCATTGCAAATTTTAATGCCCCATGACTCAAATCCACACCTGCGTGATGGAAGAATCAAGAAGACTTCACTTGAAAAAACTTCCCGAAGAAATCAATCTCCACAAAAATCCCTTGATTTGTAGTTACCTCCGCTGGACATTTCATTCCACCAACAAATACATCTCAATTTCCGATGCTCAATTGAATAATTCATTGAATGGAGAATCGAATGCGAAAGAAAAACGTTTAATTTATTTTCATTTCAACCAGAAACTGGTAGTATAAATTCAACAAGCTCACTCGTTTCACCGGTTATCCCATAAAATTTGATGCACACTTTCCCATCGCATTTACATCATCTGTCACGGAAAAAAATCCGGACGGAAATTTATGGTCGGTCGGATGGATTCCTTATTGAGCCGGAGGATCTGTTTCTTCTCCTATAAATTTGTCGTTTTTACTGCTTCATATCACAGGAACGAAAGGGAGAGCGCTATCGACTGCGGGCAATCGTTGATGAGCTCCAGAAGGCGACTGCCGAGGATTATCAAGCGGCATTACTCGCATTCATCAACTGCCTGGTCATCTCAACGCCTGCTGTCAAGGATCGTGTTCGTCTTCGTAACGAATTCATTGGTAATTCAGTGGATTCATTGGTTTAGTAATTGTATCAACAGACTGAGAGGAAAAATCAGTTCTGAAGAAAAATTATATAGTTTCCTGAAGAGATCTTTGGTCGTGTGGAATCCATTTACTTGTGGACAACAAAAAAAGTTTCCACCAAAATATGATATTACACTGTTAGAACATTACTCTTGAATTCAGTCAATTTGCTTGACTGCATTCGAAAATTACTCTTGACATTCAGTCAATTTTCTTGAATATTCAATGAAATTTGATTTCTCAAGTTCATATGACACTGAAAATTGTTGAAAATCGTAAAAATTCAGGCAACTTTTCTTCTGAATTTTCAATCTGTTGAAAATTCTATTGAATGTATTGCTTAATTTTCACGATAGGTTTGAAAATCCAAATTGTCCTTGAAAATTTAATGATTGTTCACCAGGAAAAACTTAATGTTATCGAATTTCCAAGATGAATCAGGAATTCCATGAGCAATTTCGATTGAAATTGAATTCAAATTCAGATTATTGAAAACTCAACTGCATCTGTTATTCAAATTTCAAAAAATTTCTAACAGTGTAGTGCATTATCTAAATTATCCCACACAAGAAAAATTTATACACACAGAGAAATGTTTTATTTTAATTAAATAAACTTCATTTGAATCAAATGAATGGCTTTACTCGAATAGCTCGTAATAAACTTGTTATTCAAACTTGAACTTGTTTTTTATTCATTTTTTTATTCGCATTAAATGAAAAGTCGTATATTTACGTTAAATAAGTCGTTTTTTTAATTGAATGAAATGTTTATTCGATTTGAATAATTACTTTATCGGTTTGAAATGAAACCACTGACACTCCTAGGGCCGGTTGCACCAAGCCTTGTTTACGAAATAAATCATCAGAATAAATGTCAGGAGTAATTTTATGCCGCAGTTAGACGATTTTAGAAATTCGTCGTGGAGTGCTTTTATTTAACCATTCGGTCGTAAATATCGCTTGAATACCTCGTAATGAATGGTATTCATGGCAAATACTCATGATACATAAATATACCACGTTTTTTTGGTGAAAAATCTTCGATGAACTTTCGATCTAAATTGATTGGCAGATTTTTTTACGGAACAGGACTTCTTGGCGCACGGAGAGAAATATTCCGTTATAATACCCCGAGAGCTCCAAAATGATGGGGTATTTCCCGATAAATTTGTTCCATACAAACGAATATGTCAAGTTTAGCATGTTAAAAAAATTTTTCCTGCGAAACTTGACACAATACATGAAGTGATTAATTTCCAACAAAAATATTGTTGATGTAAAAAAAAATCGGAACTAAGAAATTTTATTTTGTTCGAACGTGTCATTTCTCTGGGTGGATTATCTTAAGGCAGGAACTGTGGGAAATGTACGACTGTAGCAGAGATATTTAATAGGAAATTTCATAGAAATATTACAAAATGTTGTAGAAGTTTGTAATTTTATGATTCTGTCATTCATTATTTTAGGACTGAAGCTACTCCCAATTCTGAACGACCTGCGGTGAGTTCTATCACTTATACTATTTCATTAATAACAATAGTCATAATTGCACTTATAAAGAGTTCAATTGTAAACCCGAGCAGTTTCCCGCGTATGAAACAATTCAATAGAAAATCTAGCGAATTCGTTAGAAAATTCTATTGGAATTCTGTAGGAATTCTATGGGATTTCTATAGGATTTCCATTAGAATTCTGTTAAAATATTATATTTGTTTTTTGCGCTAATTCTATTGGATATTTGATTTAAAAAACTCAATAGATTTCGAATTTCTGTTTCAATTTTCCTCTTGAGGTTTTGTCTGTAAGAATGCTTGGGCATCAATTTTCCAACTTTTTTTCACTCGGATTGTACAATGCAAAACAAAACAAAATCCAGCGGAAAAAACTTTGTGTCCAAATTTTGTGCTCAATAATTCTAATAGAAAAAATTTAAGACAAAAATTCAAACAGAAATTCAAAATCTATTAACTTTTTCTTATTGAATATCCAATAGAATCAGCGAAAAAAACAAATAGAATTTTTCAGTAGAATTACAATGATTAGAAAACCCATAGAATTCCTATAGAATTCGACTAGAATTTTCTGGCGAATTCGCTAGGTTTTCTATTGATTTTTTTTCATACGTGAGTTTATATATATAAAATATTATTATTAACATTAGAATTACCCATCAGTGGATAGTCTCAGTGGATAGTTGTGGGTTAAACCCCATCCCCAGCAATTTTTCGCATTTCCTCGAATTGATAAAACCAGCATTTCTCCCAAAAATAAGCAGTAAAATATCTTTTCATTAACACTAGAATTTATATTATTAATTTTATTAATATTATTATAATATTCTCAGATACTCCCATAAAAATATTCCTATAAAAATCCCTGAGTTTAAATCTCCCAAGTTTCATTTCTTGAATTCGGAACTGGACGAAAAAGCAGTGAGAAAATAACATAAAATTTACAGATGGCATATCTCTCTATATAATAAAAAAGTAGCTTTTGTCTAACGCTGAAAAATTTTCAGGGCTCATGAGGGTCCCGGGGGTCATAAGGGTCACATATTTTCTCTTCATACAAATATAAATTAGTCATCCATATATTCCATATATTTTTTATCAATATCTGATATATATGAAATTTTCAAATATATATGAATGAATTGAGAATATTGAGTGGTTGTACCCCACTGGACAGGCGTTGGATGGGGCCTGATCCCCTCCCCCTTCAGGGGGGGGGAGTAAATAAAATTAAACCAATCGTGTTTCTCTCTTCCTCACCCCTTAGGAGAGGGGGGGAAGAGTTCTTACGGTCACACCCACAAGTTCGCATGGGGCGGGGGGGGAGCGAGCGAAGCGAGCGGGGAGGCGAATCCCCCCGGGGTTGGCGAGCGAAGCGAGCAGGGGGCGAAGCCCGCTAGTCAACAGAATAAATTCAATACAAAAATCAAAATTTATTACCTTGTTTTACCCCATATGTTCTATGAAAATTTTCCATAAAATAAAAAAATTCCGGGATTTTTCAGAGAAATCACCAAAAAAATATTAAAACTCCGATAGAATTTCGATTTTTGTTCAAACGTTCGCATACGAACTACAATGCTGAGAACATGCGTGTGACATTGCGACTCAACACTCGATTCAAAAGGGCTAATCACACCTAGGAATACAAACGTAAAACCCACTGGGGCGCCATGCGACTCGAAAAATAGAATCCTCGTTCGCCGCATTTCTTTTTCTCTCTCTCCACATTCTCAGTAACCATCTAGTTTTCGCGGGGAAAAGAGACGTGGTGATGAGAATTCAGAGGAAAAAGAGCGAGAAAGAGAGGCGCGAGGACTGAAATTAACTCATGAGGCACCTGCATCTCTGTATGTGCACTCTTCCACTGGAACGAGAAGCAGGCGATGTGATTCTCGATTTATCTTCGGCTACTACTACTTCCCCCGAATACTGAAGCCATCGGTACTTCTTCAGTTTTGTCTTGAGCCGCTGAACGGGCGAACGCACGTGTCTTTTTTATTCGAAAGCTTTTAGTGCCCGGAATTCGTACGGAAATCGCGTTTTATTTCGGTGATTTTTGGGGTTTATGAAATATGATATTGTGTGAGTGCATTTTTTGCAAGTCTACTTGGATTTATTTCAAATACTGATAATGAACATTTTCAAGTGAAATTCACAATGAAAGCTCAGCCGGATTTAACCCTAAATTGGTCACCATGCGAGGGAATCGCCGCAAAGCTCATTTTCATTTTGGAATAGCAATTAGACGATTGAGTAGAAAACTTGAAAAATCAAGCTTGTGTTGTTAAGTGTATAAAAATTTTGAAATGTTTTTTAAAATGATTTTACAATTATTAAGTTCGGCAAAGTGATTCGAAAAAAACGTGAAAAACTAGGGAACCAAACTAGAACGAAAATATTCTTCCCGTCTAAGATTTTCATTAAATATTTGACATGATTTTTTTAGTAATATCAATTAGACGACTGAGTTGAAATTCTGAAAAAAATCAACCGTTGTTAAAAAGTGTTAAAAAATTTTGAATGTTTTTTTAATGATTCTCCAATTTTGTGATATTGGAGTAAAAGTTTGTTCATTCATTGGAAAAAATGAGAAGTGATTCAAAATATTACGGAATAGACCTGACATATTTTTAGAAGATTCAGAAATTTCATTCATTGGAGGTGTTAATATTTTATTCGGTTCTGCTGTTCTGAAATATTTATTTTTTGTTAAATCTCATGAAAATATTGAAAATTTAAAGATTTGGCTCGAATTTAGGAATTCCTTACGGGAAATCGAGGTAGTAATTCCTAGTAGTGTATCAGTGTTGATTAAAAGAGAATTCTCTTGTCAATTTTGGGAACAATGAAGGATTGACCTTAAATATATAATTTTCTTTTGTAAAAAATGGGAAATTACATTCACTGAAGCCATTAATATTCAGTGTTCAGTGAGAAATGTTTTTTTATTTGTTGACAATTTTCAGCAAAAGCTTGCAATTATAAAGATTTGACATAAATTTTAGAAATATTTATGGAGGAAAAAATTTCGTAGAAAAACCTAGTGAATTCGAAACAAAATTGTATTGAATTTTTTTTATAAGATTACTTGGGCGTCAATGTTCTAAATTTTTTCCACTCGGATTCTGTAATGCAGAATAAAATAAAATACAGCGAAAAAAACTTAGAAAATTTGTGCCCACTAATTCTAATAGAAAAAATCTCAGGAGAACAAAATTAAAACAAAAAACGAAACAAAAACAAAAAAAATTCGAACAGAAATTCAAAATATATTGATTTTTTCTTATCAAATATGGAATAGAATCAGCGCAAAAACAAGTAGAATTTTTCAATAAAATTTCAATAGAAATCCTATAGAAACCCCATACAATTCCTATCGAATTGCAATAGAATTTTCTAGCGAATTCGCTAGGTTTTCTATTGAATTTTCTCATCCGTGTAAGTTTTGGAAATTTTCCATAGAATCGGGCCGAAAATAATAGAAAATTCAACATAAATTCAATATCATTTTCCAGTAATTTCGCTAGGTTTTTTTTAATGAAACGTCTTTTTTCCCCGCGAAAACTAGATGGTTACTGAGAATGTGGAGAGAGAGAACAAAAAACAAAAAAAACAGAATTAAAACAAAAGATTGAGACAAAATGAAAATTCGAACAGAAATTCAAAATATATTGATTTTTTCTTATCATATATGCAATAGAATCAGCGTAGAAACAAGTAGAATTTTTCAATAAAATTCCAATAGAAATCCTATACAAACCCCATAGAATTCCTATCGAATTCGCTAGGTTTTCTATTGAATTTTCTCATCCGTGTAAGTTTCGGAAATTTTCCATAATATCGGGCCGAAAATAACAGAAAATTCAACATAAATTCAATATCATTTTCCAGTGATTTCGCTAGGTTTTTTTTAATGAAACGTCTCTTTTCCCCGCGAAAACTAGATGGTTACTGAGAATGTGGAGAGAGAGAACAAACAACAAAAAAACAGAATTAAAACAAAACATTAAGACAAAATTAAAATTCGAACAGAAATTCAAAATATATTGATTTTTTCTTATCAAATATGCAATAGAATCAGCGCAAAAACAAGTAGAATTTTTCAATTGAATTCCAATAGAAATCCTATAGAAACCCCATAGAATTCCAATAGAATTTTCTAGGGAATTCGCTATGTTTTCTATTGAATTTCCTCACCCGTGTAAGTTTCGGAAATTTTCCATAGAATCGGGCCGAAAATAATAGAAAATTCAACATAAATTCAATATCATTTTCCGGTGATTTCGCTAGGTTTTTTAAATGAAACGTTTCCGTATGCACCGTATTATGAAATAGAATGACTAACGACTGGGATAAATATGATTGTTGTGCCAGTTCATAAGATGTTGAGGGACTTGGGGAAGTGTATATATACCCCGGTCACTCACGCCGGCTGATTTTTAATGTCTTAATAACGGGTCAGAGTCTATATTAATGCAGGTGGGGTACGTCATGCCCTCACTATGCAAGTTTTAGTTTATGATTGACTCTTCGAACAGTTTTATTTTCATTCAAGACATAAATAGAATGTCCAGTTGTCGTGTTGAATTGAATGCCTTCTATTCAACAAGATGTATGAAACATATCCATAATAATTATTTAAATGTATTATTAATTAACAATAACATTACGAATTGTAACTGAAGTCAGTGATTCAAATTGTAGGAAGCAGAAGAGTCAATTCCCAGATCTACGAGTGCAATTGGACGTTTTCGATGATCAACGGGAGACCGATGAAGAGCTCACCAATCAGGGACCACCGGGGATTGATCTGTCCTCTCATGTAGACGTGTTTTATGCTATTCTCGGTCAAGTCAGTACTCAATATTGCAAAACAGTGATAATGAACCGATTACACATGAAAGAGTTTCACGGAATAATTTAGCGGATTCGATAGGAAATTTTATTCGATTCCTATTGAACTTCCATTGAGAAATGCCCAATAGAAACTATTTTATAGAAAAGATGAATATAAGTTCCTCTTAGCATACGACATTTCCTGTTGGGTTGTTTCTCTTTAGAAATTCCTCGACTTGAATTTTCCAAGTTTATTCAACTCGACTTTTATTCCATTGAAAGAAATTTTTTCAACTGAAAATTTGAGCCGAGTGGAATTTCTATAGAAAATATGTCAATAGACTAAGTTGTGTGCAAAAATTGAATTTTAATGATTATTTCTACAGAATATTTTTCATTGAACATTTTTATTCAGACAAAACGTGCTATCTGCGGAATTTTTCAATAGAAATCCAGTAGAATTTTTCTTTTAATTTATTCATGGTTGCATCAACAACGAGGTTCTAGTAGAATTTTATAGCGAATTTCAAGCACGAAAAAATTTAATATAAAGACCTAACGAATTTATTAAAAAATTCTAGTGGATTTCTCTTGAACTTTCTATTAGTTCTCGGCCGATTCTGTTGAAATGTCCGAATTTTAGAATTCGATTTTTCTAGACAACTTATTCTCTTGAGATATTTTCTTCAGAATTTCCTCGGCTCAAATTTTCCAAGTTTTTTTCATTCTATTCTTCTTTTCTTTTCATCAAGAAAATCAAACAAAAAACTTGGAAAATTTGAGCCGAGGGATTTCTACAGGAAATATAACAATAAATTAAGTTGTGTACAAAAATTTAATTTTATTCATTATTTCTACAGAATATTTTCCATTGAACATTTTTATTCAGACAAAACGTGCTATCTGCAGATTTTCTTCAATAGAAGTCCAGTAGAATTTTTCTTTCAATTTATGTAAAGTCGCATCAACAACGAGGTTCTAGTAGAATTTTATAGCGAATTTCAAGCATGAAAAAATTCAGTAGAACTTGACGAATTTTTTTTTTAATCTAGTGCATTTTTCTTGAATTTTCTATTAGTTTTCGGCCGATTCTGTTGAAATGTCCGAATTTTAGAATTCGCTTTTTCTAGACAACTTATTCTCTCGAGATATTTTCTTCAGAATTTCCTCGGCTCAAATTTTCCAAGTTTTTTTCATTCCATTCTTCTTTTCTTTTCATCAAGAAAATCAAACAAAAAACTTGGAAAATTTGAGCCGAGGTAATTCTATAAAAAATATCTCAGTAGAATAAGTTCTATAGAAAAATCGAAGTCTATTGGCTTTTTCGATAGAATAATTTCCATTGAACATCTCAATGAAATTGACCAAAAACCAATTGAAAATTTAATAGAAATCCAATAGAATTGTCTAGAGAATTCGCTAGATTTTACTAATAAATTTTTTCATGCGTGTCTTTAGGTTTTTTCTGAAATTTTAACGTACATGATGACCTGAGGTACTTTAATTAAGTGGATGATATATCCTGGTAAATTTAGATTGCAGACACACCTCAAGAAATTCCGTTCTTGAGTATTCTTCAGCACCTTCTGCGACTCGATCCAAAAGAGGCTGCGAGTGATCTCGCCTGGGATACAGCGGAAACGTTGGTGCATAGAGCTACATTGTTGGAGAGTCGCGATGATGTTACAAAGCTTTTGAGGTCTCCTAGTCTGCAGGTATTGTCATTAACATTTTTACATTTTAGTTCGACTTTTCAAATCATTAATCAATTAATTCAATCAATTAATCACCGAGTGGATAATCATATGTGTAAATGCAGACCCCATAATCCCCAGGACGGGATGATCGGCTAGAAACGGGAGAAAATTTGTTTTTCTTCGAATATGGACGGGATATGAATGTACTGGAATTTTATGAGATAATTTTCACAAGAAGAAATGAATAAAATGCAAAAAAACGGACGCGCGAGGAAACAAAAAAATTAATTTTTCAATGTCTCCGGAAAGTTTTAAAATCGATATATTTTTTCGAATAATGGAAGAATAAACATAAATTCGATTTTTATCTTGATTTTTATCTTTTGATAGGATGAACAGAATAAATGACAAAAATTGAGAATTGGCGACTTAAAATTCTATCAAATCATTATTATGTAATTTGTAATATGAATAATTAAGCTGATGAATTCAATTAACTAGTCAATTAATCCGATGGAACTAATTAATACATCCGTTGAATAATCAATAATTCATCGAAATAATTGATTCAAATTGCAGACAAAATTGTCCTGTCACAAGTGTCAGAATTTATAAATTTTTGCCAAAAATCCGAAATGAATCAATGGGTTTGGTACTTTTTGTCCAAAAACCACTTGGTCCACCACAATAAACATCCAATAATAAAAAAAAGAAAAATAGAAACTACTACTTTCTAGCAATCAATGTACATGAATATTCTCAAATCAATATTCTTCATTTTTTCTTTTGATAGAATAAATAGAATAAATGACAGAAATTGAGAATTAGCGACTTAAAATTCTATCAAATCATTATTATGTAATTTATAATACGAATAATTAAGCTGATGAATAGAATTAACTATTCAATTAATCCGATGGAACTAATTAATACATCCGTTGAATAATCAATAATTCATCGAAATAATTGATTCAAATTGCAGACAAACTTGTCCTGTCACAAGTGTCAGAATTTATAAATTTTTGCCAAAAATCCGAAATGAATCAATGGGTTTGGTACTTTTGGTCCAAAAACCACTTGGTCCACCACAATAAACGTCCAATAATAAAAAAAAGAAAAATAGAAACCACTACTTTCTAGCAATCAATGTACATGAATATTCTGAAGCATATGAAAATAGTAAACAATGAACACAAATACACATTCCATTTATGAGATGATGTATATTGACTTAAATCCTCTGAGAGCAGTTTTTATGTTAATTATTAATATATTCTACTATCAATGAGTTCATGTTTAAATTTAATTGTGTATTCACAGACGTCGAGTTTTTTTCATGTTAATTGTTAATGTCTTGTACTTCCATTGATCGTTCCACAATAGCAAAGCCTGAGTTGATATATTGATTAAAATTTGTGCACGCATTACATGTTTTTTCATTTTTCCCCGGAATTGGACGAACAAAATTATTAGACCAAAACAAAATTGGACCAAATGGAGAATGGACGAAAAAAATTTGGACGAAAAATACCGGTCCCGAATCAATCACTCAAATTAATCAAATTCATCAATTAAATAATTAAGCCAATGGGGTCAATTAGCTAGTCAATTAATCCGATTGAATCAATTCATGAATACATTAAGTAATTCATAATTTATTGATATAATTGATTGAAATTGCAGACAAACTTGTGCTGTCACTGTCGTGGAACTGATCAATCCAGTACTCCACGCAAATCATCGATTCCCGCGGGTAATTCCCCGCCTTTCCTCGTGTCTCCCCCCGCGACATCTATTCCCACTCCACCAGTACCGCCAAATCCCGCCAACTCGTTCATACTGCCACCACCTCCACCACCACCCCTTTTCGTCAACAGCGGTAATTCTGATGTACCCATGGAACCGCCCCTGCCACCACCCCTCCGAGTGCCCACGATCAACCGTGCACCCACCCCAGAACCACCCAGTAACGCCGGGAAATTATTACCGCAACAGGAGATTCCAACGCCCAAGACGAAAATGAAGACCATCAATTGGAATAAAATTCCTAATCACAAGGTAATAAGCGGTCAGGTGGAAAAAATGATTGTTCCTTATAAAAAATTTAACGACACGATTTCTTAGAAAAATCTAGCAGACGATATTACCGAAGTTTCATAGAAAAACCTGACGGATTTGATGAGAAAATTCTGTTCGATTTGTATTGAACTTCGATTGAACATTCTATTGATTTTTCACTGACTCGATTGAAAAATTTTCACACCGCAGAAAACTGTGCGTTTTTTAATGGAAAGGTTGAATACATAAAATTGTACGGAAAAAATCAACGGAATTCAATTTTACTATACAACTTATTCTAGAGATATTCCCCAATAGGAAAAGTTGCATAAGAAGATTGAATACTACAGAATTTTTTTATATAATAGTTTTCGTTGGAAATTTTCTATAAAAAAAGACAAGAAAATTTGAGCAGAGGAATTACTATAGAAAATATGTCAATATAAGTTGTATGAAAAAAGTTAATTCTTTGATTTTTTCTATAGAGTATTTTTCATTGAACATTTTTATTGAAAAAACAGGGCGCAGTTAAGCTTCGGAATTTTTCAATAGAATCGGCGAAAAAATGCTAGAATTTTCTAATGAATTCGATACAAAATTCTAGTGGATTTCACTAAAGAAAACTATTATTATATTTTATATGTAATATGCTTATATTTCATATATTTAATATAATAATATAATTATTAAAAAAATATTGATAAAAAATGAATACATATAAAATATTTTTGTATATATATATATATACATATATTTATGAAAATATTAGAAAATTTTTATATAAAAAAATATAAAGATATCAATAATATATATAACAGCTAATTAATATAGATAATTTGAAAGAAATTAAATAAAAAGGTATTCAAGTTTAATATGGAAATATTCCTCAGCATAGGCATGGCGGAATAGATTACTGACAAAAAACGTTACATTTTTTTTAAAAAGAGGAAAAATCCAATAGATCCAATTCTCTAATGAATTCGCTAAAAATTTTTCCCACTAATTGTTACAAGAAAATGTCCTCATGATTGTCCTCACTAATCAGCGACCCTTCAATCAGGTCGTCGGCAAGAGGAACATCTGGTCGCTAGTAGCTAACGAACACCAAAATTCGCCAATGGCGGATCTAGACTGGGCTGAGATGGAGGGACTCTTTTGCCAGCAAGTGCCACCAATGATCCCTCAATCCACATCTGCATCCTCCAGTTGTGGGATTGATGCAGAACGACGACGACGAGAGCCAACCGAGATCGTCCTATTGGATGGGAAGAGGAGTTTAAACGTCAATATCTTCTTGAAGCAATTCAGGACCTCGAATGAGGACATTATACAGTTGATCAGGGAAGGCGGACACGACGACATTGGTGCGGAGAAACTGCGAGGGCTCTTGAAGATATTACCTGAGGTCGATGAATTAGAAATGCTTAAGAGTTTCGATGGTGACAAATCGAAGCTCGGTAATGCGGAAAAGTTCTTCTTGCAGCTCATACAAGTACCAAAGTGAGTGGACAACTTGATCATGAAGTTTTCAACAAGTTAATTCTCTTAGTAACAATTAATCTTATTCAATTCCTTGCCATACACTGAGAGAAAAACACGTTGTCAAACAAGTCTTGTTTGGGCCAACAAAATCGCTAGTTGAAAATTGCCAAAAAAGAATTTCTTTGGTTCGAATTTGAAAGTCTCAAACATGAATAATAGTTCTACTTTCGACAGCAACGAAATATTTGGCTCAAGAGGCGGATATTCACACCAGACGGTGCCTTTTCAGGATAAAAATATCTCATATAGAAAAACATTTATCAACAAATATTTTATCCCTAAGTTACAAGATTGCTATCATATCATTATTATTGTTTCATTTAAGGGTTCATTTCTTGTCTGTGATTATTAGACAGCCGAAACGAAAAACTACTATTCCTTGCTTCGCATAAAACAAATTCAAGTTTCTTTCCTTGAATTTCACAATATTGTATACTCTTAGAAAAAAAATGAAATTGCATGGCCAGTCAACTGGTAATTTCAAAATCTTAACCCTAGTCTGCTCACCAAACGCCACCCTGTGACTGGTCATCCCGCGGGGATTCCCCGCCGTGTATTTAGGCTCTAGCGTTGCCGAATTCACTCCAGACTGCCCGGGCGCATTTAACGAGTTTCCGGCAACGTCGGGCGATCGACAATTACATTCAACATGGGAAAAAATAATTCACCTGTTCGAAATAATTTGTTTCTTTAGGAATTTCGGAAAATATGTTGTTCTAAAAATTACTATAATTCTTTAGACACTTCAATTGACAAAGTCAAATTTTTTTGAAATTTTCCGGTTACCCAGTCAATTGTAATTAAAGAAAAACTGCGCGGGGTGGGGTGTCCCTCATATGGTGACCAATCTAGGGTTGAATCTAAAATATCTACACAGTAAAGGACTCAGTAATGAATAACTGTTTCATAAGCATTTTTTAACAGAAATTTAAACGAATCAATGAATATATTCATGTCAGGGTGACGATAGAACATTAAATTTACTGCAATAGTCGCTTGATGGTGTACAAAAATAACATATAAAATTTCATCCTTCAATTCTTCATTTTGGTTTCAACAGTTACAAACTGTGAATTGAGTGTATCCTATTGAAAAAAGAATTTGCGTGATGGGCAATTTCATTCAACATGGGAAAAAATAATTCACCTGTTCGAAATAATTTGTTTCTTTAGGAATTTCGGAAAATATGTGGTTCTAAAAATTACTATAATTCTTTAGACACTTCAATTGACAAAGTCATTTTGTTTTTATTTTTCCGCGTTATCCAGTCAATGGTAATTTTAAAAAATTGCGCGCGATGGGGTGTCCCTTATATGGTGACCAATCTAGGGTTGAATCTAAACTATCTACACAGTAAAGGACTCAGTAATGAATAAGAACAGTTTCATAAGCATTTTTTAACAGAGACTCGAGACTCGAAGCGAATCAATGAATATATTCATGTCAGGGTGACGATAGAACATTAAATTTACTGCAATAGTCGCTTGATGGTGTACAAAAATAACATATAAAATTTCATCCTTCAATTCTTCATTTTGGTTTCAACAGTTACAAACTGCGAATTGAGTGTATCCTATTGAAAGAAGAATTTGCGTGATGGGCAATTTCATTCAACATGGGAAAAAATAATTCATCTGTTCGAAATAATTTGTTTTTTTAGGAATTTCGGGAAATATGTTGTTCTAAAAATTACTATAATTCTTTAGACACTTCAATTGACAAAGTCAAATTTTTTTGAAATTTTCCGGTTACCCAGTCAATTGTAATTAAAGAAAAACTGCGCGGGGTGGGGTGTCCCTCATATGGTGACCAATCTAGGGTTGAATCTAAAATATCTACACAGTAAAGGACTCAGTAATGAATAACTGTTTCATAAGCATTTTTTAACAGAAATTTAAACGAATCAATGAATATATTCATGTCAGGGTGACGATAGAACATTAAATTTACTGCAATAGTCGCTTGATGGTGTACAAAAATAACATATAAAATTTCATCCTTCAATTCTTCATTTTGGTTTCAACAGTTACAAACTGCGAATTGAGTGTATCCTATTGAAAGAAGAATTTGCGTGATGGGCAATTTCATTCAACATGGGAAAAAATAATTCATCTGTTCGAAATAATTTGTTTCTTTAGGAATTTCGGGAAATATGTTGTGCTAAAAATTACTATAATTCTTTAGACACTTCAATTGACAAAGTCAAATTTTTTTGAAATTTTCCGGTTACCCAGTCAATTGTAATTAAAGAAAAACTGCGCGGGGTGGGGTGTCCCTCATATGGTGACCAATCTAGGGTTGAATCTAAAATATCTACACAGTAAAGGACTCAGTAATGAATAACTGTTTCATAAGCATTTTTTAACAGAAATTTAAACGAATCAATGAATATATTCATGTCAGGGTGACGATAGAACATTAAATTTACTGCAATAGTCGCTTGATGGTGTACAAAAATAACATAAAATTTCATCCTTCAATTCTTCATTTTGGTTTCAACAGTTACAAGCTGCGAATTGAGTGTATGCTATTGAAAGAAGAATTCGCTGCCAACATGAGTTACCTAGAGCCCAGCATAAACTCGATGATCCTCGCTGGAGAGGACCTAATGACAAACAAACCCCTCCAAGAGATGCTGTACATGGTCCTCGTAGCTGGTAATTTCCTCAACTCCGGTGGCTATGCTGGCAACGCCGCCGGTGTCAAACTATCGTCCCTACAAAAATTGACTGAAATCCGGGCTAACAAGCCGGGCATGAACCTCATACATTACGTCGCACTCCAAGTAGAGAGGAAACGGAAGGATTTGCTCCATTTCGCGAAGAATATGAGTACACTGGAAGCAGCTGCGAAGACGACAATTGAGCAGCTGATGAATGAATTCAACACGTTGGATACTAAGATCAAGAAGATTAGGACGCAGATTCAACTTCCGTCGACTGAAGCTGATATTCAGGAACAAATGGCGCAATTCCTGCAGGTGACGAAGCCTCGATAATGTGTTTTTTCAAGGACAATTCTCCAATATTTTGACATTATCATGATAATTCAGTAGCGAAGCGGCAAAATGGTTTAATCCCTCACGTAAAAATTAAAATTCCAAAATTAATCGAGTTTCTGCAATTTTTTTGCAGTTTTCAATAATCTTTGAATTCACCGTAAGAGTAGAGCTACTTTAATTAACTCAACTAATTAATTCATTGGTTTTGAACATTGATGGGTTAAAATCAATGGAATTTGTCTTCATGCTCATAAATTAGTTCAGTGAGGCTCAAGGGAATGTTGGAGAGGAAATAAATACCTATACAATGTAATTAATTCATCAGTGGTGTTCATAATAAGCATAATTAATGGTAATATTCATTCACGAACGAACAAGTGAATGAAGAAGATGGAATTCGATTGACTTTTGTAAATTCTGTTGAAAAATTTAGCTCGTTCATTGATAGAAATATTCAACACCAAAAAATCGATAAATTTTCCAGGTTTTGACCCCTGCATGTGTTCCTTTATCATGAACCCCTCACGTATGGCGTCGATACCATGCACGACTCATAAATTTGTCCTACCGGCTGGGGTCAATGCATGGTATCGACCCTTTCCGTCAACAGTCAAAAATCATTTTCTCGAATTCTAAGAGACATATTGACAGTTGGAAAAGATATTTGGAAAGTCAATGGAATTGTCTCCGCAGGGAACTATTTTATTTTATTTTTTTCAATGCATTTATATTATTTTTTTCTATGAACAAAAGTTGTAGATGAAAATTTGACATCCAACCGATTCAATCATATTAAATCATGTCGTTTAGCGACAAAATTTCCCCCAAAAATTTTGATTTTTTTACTGAAAATTCTTCAATGATCCTTCTATCGAGTGGCAGAAGTCAAATTTCGATTTGTTGAATAATTTATTTGTTATAAATAAATTTAGCATGTTCGAAGATCTCGGAAACCAATTGTCGGCAAACATTGAAATTGGTGTCAAAAATTAGGAAATTCTCTGGGAGTTTATTTCAAAGTTTAATACAGCCAATGCATTTTATTTCAATTTTTTTCGTTCGGCTGTTTTTAAGTTATCGTTCATTGAATAACTGAGTTCACGCGCCGTAAGTCTCGGCCGTTGGGACAAGCTGCGTTATATGGGCGCCGTACGTGAGGGGTTAAGTCGACTTAGCCCTTGGCTGAGTTTTCCAGGAATATCTCCGAATCTAAGGGAGATAATGAAATTTCCATAATAACCTTTATAAACATTCCTCATCAGGGAAATTTATTTATATTTATCTACAAAAAAACCATACAAAATTCCTATTATCATATCTCCATATAGAGACAATTTCACTGTTTACATTCGCAGAATCTAAATCACAAAGTATTTAATAACTCAAGGATGATTGCACATTACCTACCTCAAAGCAAAACATTAAATCATTCTGAGAAATTTCCAAAAACCCCATTCAAATGGCAGAATGGGAGATTTAAATACTTTGTGATTTAGTTTCTGCGAATGTAAACAGTGAAATTGTCTCTATATGGAGATATGATAATAGGAATTTGTCATGGTTTTTTTTATAGATAAATATGAATAAATTGCCCTGATGAGGAGTGGATATACCGCTCAAAACGTTGGCGAGTAGTGAAGATTTGTTTTTTAATTCAATTGGAGGGTAAAATCGCTGAGAACCGCAAAATTGCCTGGAGGAGTAGGAGGAATGTTTATAATTATACTGGCGGTTGGAAAAATCATTTTGTGTTCATAATAACCTTTTTTTGTAGAGTGAATTGAGGGCTACAAAAAGGTCATGACAAAAATTTTGTGATTCCCCTTCAATTTCGAGATACTTATTGAAAACTGGCCCATAACCGAAATCGACTTCAACCGTTTTACCGCTTCGCTACTGAATTGATGTTTTGTTTCTCTCTTTGTCACTAGTTTTGATTGATCCCTGGGATATGATTGTTATAAGTTTTGTCACGTATAGCAAATTCCTATTCAACTAGCGTATGAGGCGCGCTATGCGCGCCGTACACTGTTAGGAAAGGAAATTGAAATTTCATGAAGAGTCGACTAGTAATTTTCAGAAGAGACATGAGTGCAATTTAAATGAAGGAAAATCATGAAATTTTAGATTTCACTGAAAATTCAATAAAATTCTAAATTTTTGCGCAGCATTAAGACGAGAATTTTTCAACAAATTTGAATTTTCACTGAAAACAAATATTCGTCGCCAAATTACACTGAATTTCAAATTAATTAGAAATTCAAGAATATATGGATCAGAATTCTGCCGCTTTCTATCAATTTTCAGAGCATAATTGGACTAATAGTTGCAGTTCTCATCCATTTTTCCGTGAATTCGGAGTTTACAATGCCGAAATTGCTGGGAATTGTGATAAAAATCGTGGTAAAAATTTCCAAGACATGTACTTTTAGTGTTTGAATGGATTTTTCGTTGAATTGAACCGCACAAATTCCAATTCCACAAGTGTAAATCTGTTCAGGAGAGGATATCGTAAAGATGTAACACTTTGCTGTAGCATTTCTAATGCAAGGTGAATATAACAATGGTGTGGTTTATCATTCCATTCCATTGCTATATGAATTATTCTAATTATGTCCCCTTTAGGAGTTTTCCAGATTTCCCAAAGATTTGGGTGAAAGGCCACTATCCACGTCAATATCAAGATGCGTTTATAACTAAATGAAAAATCATTTCTAATGAAGACAAATATTCCGAATCGAATTTCCATAATTTTCGGATTTTTTTTCGATAAAAAATTCCAAATAATTATTTATCAAAAAGGTATGGATTAGAGGAGAATTTCTGGAGATTTTTAAACATTTCTACAGCCCAGAGAACAATTTTTACCGATTTCATCTAAAAGTCCTCTCAAAACCGGTAAATATCCGGAAATTTACCGGTAAATTGTCGCCTGAGAGGTTTGTGTAATTTAGAATTCGAAAGGTCTTCGAAAAAATCGTCCAAAGCCCAGAAAAGGTTTTGAAAGTCTTGCAGAGTTTAAACCAGAACGAAATATTCGACTCAGGCCGTCCCTAGAATTGCCATAATTTTCTGATTTTTTTAAATAAAACAATTCCAATTAATTATTTATTAAAAAGGTGTAGATTAGAAGAGAATTACTGGAGATTTTTAAACATTTCTACAGCCCAGAGAACAATTTTTACCGATTTCATCTAAAAGTCCTCTCAAGACCGGTAAATATCCGGAAATTTACCGGTAAGTTGTCGCCTGGGAGGTTTGTGTAATTTAGAATTCGAAAGGTCTTCGAAAAAATCGTCCAAAGCCCAGAAAAGGTTTTGAAAGTCTTGCAGAGTTTAAACCAGAAGGAAATATTCGACTCAGGCCGTCCCTAGAATTGCCATAATTTTCTGATTTTTTTAAATAAAAAAATTCCAATTAATTATTCATTAAAAAGGTGTAGATTAGAAGAGAATTACTGGAGATTTTTAAAAATTTCTACAGCCCAGAGAACAATTGTTACCGATTTCATCTAAAAGTCCTCTCAAAACCGGTAAATATCCGGAAATTTACCGGTAAATTGTCGCCTGGGAGGTTTGTGTAATTTAGAATTCGAAAGGTCTTCGAAAAAATCGTCCAAAGCCCAGAAAAGGTTTTGAAAGTCTTGCAGAGTTTAAACCAGAACGAAATATTCGACTCAGGCCGTCCCTAGAATTGCCATAATTTTCTGATTTTTTTAAATAAAAAAATTCCAACTAATTAATTAAAAAGGTGTAGATTAGAAGAGAATTACTGGAGATTTTTAAAAATGTCTACAGCCCAGAGAACAATTGTTACCGATTTCATCTAAAAGTCCTCTCAAAACCGATAAATATCCGGAAACTTACCGGTCAATTGTTGCTTGAGAGATTTGCGTATACTAAAAAAGTAGTCCGCAGGATCGGAAGGCAATTTAGAATTCGAAAGGTCTTCGAAAAAATCGTCCAAAGCCCAGAAAAGATTTTGAAAGTCGTCCAGAGTTTAAACCAGAACGAAATATTCGACTCAGGCCGTCCCCAGAAGGAGCGCCCATGAGGTGTACCCGTAAAAATGCACTGTTACCGAATTTTGAACGGCAATAATGTGTTACAGATGGCCGAGCAAGGAATGTCCCAACTCAAACACGACATGGAAGAGCTCGAGACCGTCAGGCACAGCCTGGCCGAGTTCTTCTGTGAAGACGCGAATGCGTTCAAGATCGAGGAATGCTACAGGATATTCCACCAATTCTGCCAGAAGTTCAATCAGGCAGTTGCTGAGAACGAGAGAAGGAAAATCCAGGAGGAGCAGATCAACGCCCGACGAAAACAGCGCGAGGAGCAACTGCTCGCCAAAAAGCGTCTCCTGAGCAATCAGATGGATATTCCGGGTTCAGAGTCCGAGTGCAATCTCATGGACTACGGAATATTGGACATTCAGTCTGGGTTTTCACGTCAATCCTACGGTCGAAGTGAAGCCAAGATGAAGAGACTTCAGAATGGAGGGGTCACATCCGACGAAGACATCTCGATAACAGGCTCACCGAGTATAAGGCGACGTCTCGGATCCTGTTCTGGTGGGCCTGATCAGCAAATTACCAAAGAGGATACTTATTCCCCGGATATAACGCCCAATGGGACACTGCGTCGAAGGAGGAGTCGGGTGCCTTGTGAGGATGATGACGGAAACTTGATGGACTTCTTGAGGACGAGCAGTGGACAGGAGACCACCAGGGAGAGGAAGTCGTGGGGCAGTTTGGATAGGTCCTGGGCGAGGAGGGCCAGGGGACAGCCTCGGCGTGGGGATCTGCTCAATGCCGATTTCTCGGGTGATCGGGAACGACCGAGCTCACCCTCACCTCTCGCTGAGACCAAATCGTTTCTACAGGCGGAGGAGGACGCTAAACCAACGGGGTATAGTTGAAATTCATGAATCATTTGCGTTTTGGCTTCTGACTGGAAGCTTTGTAATCGCTCAAATTTATATTTTCTATTTTTTTTGTGTTAGGGTGACTGAATGTGCTGTAAAAGGTTGAATACGCGATTTTTTGATGGTTTTTACTGAAAATACTTCAATGATCCTTCTATCGAATGGCAGAAGTTAAATTTCGATTTGTTGAATAATTTGGTTGTTATAAATAAATTTAGCGTGATTTGATGGTTTCCATCATATAGGGAACCGTCTAGGGTTAAATCTAAAGTATCTACACAGTAAAGGACTCAGTAATGAATAATAACTGTTTCATAAGCATTTTTTAACAGAAACTCAAACGAGTCAATGAATATATTCATACGCGATTTTTTTATGGTGTCGCAAGTATGAAAAAATGCTGTAGGATTTCCTATAGGAAATCATAATAATAATGCCAACAAAAAGGGAATCCTATGGTGAACTCGAACATTTCCTATAGGATTTTTCTGATAGGATTTCCCACAGGATTTCCTATAGAATTCCCTATAGAATTTCCTATCAGATTTGTGACCCTAATCCTGACCCTTGTGACAGAATGATTTCGAGTCTCAATTTTGCGCGTTACTTTCTATAGAAAACCCTATAGTGAATTCTATAGAAAATCCTATAGAGAATCCCACCAGAAAAATCCTATAGGAATGTTCGAATTGTCCAGAGGATTTCCTATAGGAAATCCTATAGGATTTTTTCATATGTGTCTGTATGTACGTATGTGGTCTTTTTTCGCCATCTTTTTTCGAAGTTTATTTATAAGGGATCAATCGAATTTGATGAATTTTTCATGAATATAGACTTTAATAATCTCTGTTCATTGACACCAATGGAAATTCAAATTTTCATGCAAATTCAAAAAAATTGATATTTTTCAAAAAATCGATTTTTCAACGAACACTCAAAAATTTTTTATGAAAATGGAATTAGTCATTTATAGGCAAACTGACTAGTCCTCTGAAAACCCAGGGAACGGACTAGTCAGTTCGACGATACTTTGCTGCCCTCTGTATGAGGGAAACAATCTAGGAACACTAGATTTTCAGGGATTCCCCGAAAATTCTCGTATAATTCCTCATTTTTCATGGCTCTCATGAATACACGTATAAGAAAATTCATTGGAATAACTTATTGTTAGTGCCTTCCTCAAGAAATTCTATTAGAGGTCTATTAGAATTCTATTAAAAAATTCTATTTTCATTTGCGTCAATTTTATTGAAGATTATACAATTTTACCGTGATATTTTGTTGAGAGGTATTCGATAGAAAAAATTCACTAGATTTTGATTTTTCTACGAAAATTCGTGGGGATAAATTTTCTAAATATTTCTCCTGTATTTTTATTCTTTTCTTGTAATAGAAATCAAGAAAAAAATGGAAAATTCATGCCCAAGAATTCGTAGAGAAAAAAATCTAACAGAATGAGTTATATAGAAACATCAACACCTACAGACTTTTTTCCATAAGAAAATATCTGTCTAAAATTTTTCCATACGTGTATTATTACTCAGTACAAAATTAATTGATTGGAAAATTCGTCCATTGCAGACGAGCGTGGAGACAGAAGATTGAAGCATGGTTGTCAGAAAACGAGAAAGAGGAGCGAGCTGGTGAGGAACTGCAGAGGAAGGCGCGTCAGTTACAGGCTAATCGTAGATCCTTAGAAGATCCTGGTAAGAGAATTTCGTAAATTCAAGGATAATTATCAATGCATGGGGTCAGGAGATGAACTATTCATTCGTTCATTCATTCATTCATTCGGTCATTCAAATGAATGATGTAGGGGAAAATAGTAAAAGAAATTTTCGTGCAGGCCAAAAAATTTGGTCTCCACAAAATCAACTGAAGAAACCGCCAGGTTTTTCTACAATTTAAAAAATACACGACCACGACCAATTTTCGATAAGAAATCGTAAAAAATCATCTAATAATCGACCTAGTTGGCTTCGTATGAATCGGAGTTATCGAATTGAAATTAATGTATGAAAAAAATTGAAAAAAAACTTCAAGTTCATTAGATTTTTATAGGACTTCCATTTAAAAGTCGAGTAGTTTTTCGCAGAGGAGCTATTCAACAGAAAATAACTTCAACTTTCAACGGTATTTATTGTAAGAACCATACATTCTTACAAATGGCCATTGCGCGAGGGCCTCCAGCCTAGAATACGCTTCTTTCGTACAGTATCAAATTATCTCTATCAGGAGCTGTGTATATCTGATTCAATGTTGATGGTAATTAGACGTGAGAAAAGGAAAAAAAGATGAATGAAAATGGTGATGAGACTCAACTTTTGAAAATCCAAACAGAAAATATTCCACAGAAAGTATCAATAGAATTTCATCTTTCAATTCTCATATTTTCTATAGACATTCCATAGTCTCAATTTTTTTTCATTCTATTTTTCTTTTCCTTTCATCAAGAAAATCAAACAAAAAACAGAAAATTTCAGTCCAGAAAATTCTATAGAAAATATCTCAATAGAATAAGTTGTAAAAAAAATCGAATTCTCTCGACTTTTTTATAGAATATTTTCTATTGAACATTTCCCTACAATCGGCCAGGAACTAATAGAAAATTGAATAGTAAATTCAATATAATTCTATCGAATGCGCTAGCTTTTTCTATTAAATTTTTTCATACATCCCCTGACGGCCATAAATTTGTCATATGTCGAAAAAAAATACAGTCATTACCCCTCCAGTTCTAATCAATATTGATTTCCTCTAGAAAATGAGGGCAAGATGAACACCCTATTGGAAGATCCATCCCAGTCAAGATACGCAGAGATATACGACTGGCGTCCGTCAGTCGAGAAGACGGACGTGATGAGAACGATGGAGGCTATCGAAGAGGCGCAGCCTCATCCCCCTCACACGGACAAATCCTGGAGGAAGTCACCCCTGGACACATCGAACCCCGAGGAAACCGACCCGAGATACTCCCGGAGAATGCGACCCAGACTGGTCAATGAGAACGTTCTCGGTCAGAGTACGCTGCAGGCCATCCGAGAGGAGGAGCGCAAGAAGAACAAGTCCCTGGACGTCGCGCCTCCCGAAGACAACGACGTGCTGACGATCTACCTTCGACAGCCCAGTCTCACCCAAACCCCCTCCATGAGGAGATTCTCAAAATCATCCAGCAAGAGCGATAGAGTCACCGACAAAATCGAGATAGATTCTGACAATATTGAGACTCCTCCAGTTACTAGGAGAGTCTTCAGTCCACCTAGGGAAGTTAAACCTGTGGAGAAGGAGCCGTGTAAACGGGAGAGGTGCAGCAGTTCACAAGGGAGGGAGATCAAGGCTGTTGCTGCCAAGCCAATCGTTGCTAATAATGATCTTGGAAGTGGTGAGTATCGAGCAGGGATAGTCACATTCAGTGTTACCAGATCGAGACGTCACCCCATTTAAAATTGTACAGGTTCACGTATGAAAACATCGTATAGAATCGACGGATATTTTTTATACCAATTATTTCAGTAGCGAAGTGGTAAAAGGAGATAAGTCAATTTTGACTGTTGACCAGTTTTCAATCAATATCTCGGAATCTAAGGGAGATGGCAAAATTTTTGTTATAACCTTTTTTGCGGAGCCGATTGAGTGCTACAACAAATGTGATTACGAAAATTTCGCTATCTCGCTTAGATTCGGAAATATTCCTCGAAAACTCAATTGGGAGATGAGTCGACTTATCTCCATTTACCACTTCACTACTGATTTCTATACCATTTTTATAGGTTTGATCCTATACGACCCACTGTCCCATGTGTAGAAACATTTCGTATGGAGTTGCGACATTTCTCTACGTTTTTCTCTCGAGCGTTTAGACATCTTTCGTATGAAAACAAAAATTTAGGTAAAAATTTATGTAGAAATAATTCGTATAGAAATATCCGAATATCATATACGAAAATCCTATAAAATTTCTATGCATAATCCGTATAGAAAATGTCCATACGATTTTTTCATACGTGTTTTGGCTATAAATCGCCAAAATCTGGCAACCCTGGTCATATTCACAAATCATAATTACCGTTAAATTTTCACACCGTCATTTAGTTAATATTACTCGCAAATTTTTAATTATTCAAGTAATCATCAATTTAAATAGTCAAATTTTGAACTATTTTATTAATCAATAGTTTAGGTAGGAAAATTGCCAATTATTTGGTCAACCGATAATTCCCCTTAAGAAATTGGAATCATTTACTCAATGAAAAATTGAATGTTCCATATTATTGAATATTTAATTCATCATTAATCAGAAATTTTCAATTATCAATATTAAACTATTTTTAAATTTTGATAAGTATATTTCAGTAGCGAAGCGGTAAACCGGGTTAAGTCGATTTTGACTTTTGGGCATTTTTTGACAAATATCTCGGAATCTAAGAGAGATAGCAAAATTTTGCTCATTACCTTTTTTATAACCCTCAGTTGGCTCTACCAAAAAGGTCATGACAAAAATTTTTCTATCTCTTTTAGATTTCCAGATATTCGTCAAAAACTAGCCAATAGTCAAAATCAACTTAACCCGGTTTACCGCTTCGTTACTGATTTAAATCGTGAATTTCGCTTTTCCCAGGTAATTTTGATAGATACTCCGCAGCCCGAAAGACCCGCAGATACAAGAAAACTCAGGAGAGTCCGTCAGACAAGGAGAATCCCCCGAAACAGGACCCCAATGTCGACAGCATTGAAGATAATCCTTCTCGCCCGAACAGTCTCTCCCTGATAATCGACAAGCCCCCCGACGAAGACGTGATGCTGCGAGTGTGGCAGGACAAACTGAAACGTCGACACGTCTCGACCACCTCTGACCCATCCCCCACGGACCCCCCGAAGGGTGATGACCTGGGAAAATCAAGGAGAACAAATTCCCGAGTGCCAATTACGCAGCCGGCGCCGGTAGTCGCGGTAACAAACACAGTATTGAGTCCAGTGATGCAGGAATCTAAACCGAGGGAGATGACACCTGTGTGGCCGGAGCGAGCAGTGCCCTGTAGGGAGAGGCACCGAAGCATGATTGACCCGAGCCAAGTGAGAGAAGCAATGAGACTAACTAGTAATCCGCCCAGTCAAGTGAATCAATTAAACCGGGCAATAGATCGTGAAAGGGATTCACTGCCAATTGTCTATGTCTCCTCGGGCGAAACTGAGTGTGGACAGGGGGAGGGGCGTCTGGAGGGCATCAACCAGGGGACGAACTTCAAGGAGAAGAATCAGTCGTTATCTGCTGAGGAGAAAAACTCGGGGGATAAATCTCATTCGGGGAAACAGACGTCTCCTCTGTTCAGGAGTCGATTCATACCGGACATCAACATGACTTCGACGTCTCCGTTGATTGGGAAGTCTAAGGATCAGGAGCTCAATGATGAGGGCTTCGAGGAGACCCAGAGTCTGGTATGTAATGACATCTATCAGCGGGTTTTTTGTTAAGGCCGATGTGTACTATCTTTCGAACGTGATCTTGGTTGTTTTTTTTAGTTTTATAATCTGAAGTGTTCTTCAATTTCCATTTAGTTTTACGTAGCCCTGGAGTCTTCAAAATAGTATATTTCGTAACGAGTGCAAAAAAGTGTTTTTTGGCGAGTGGGAGGTTTATATCACGATCCGAAGGCGAGTGATATAATTTCACGAGCTAAAAAACATTTTTTCACGAGTTACGAACAATATTTTTCGTCACAGCGTGATGAAAATTATGATTGTACAATCAAAAAAACGGTGAAAAAAAAAGAACATTTTCGAAGAGCATTTTTTAATAATATTGGGGAATAAAGCCAATAGAAGGATATTGCAAATTAATTGTTATTTACAGTAGGGGAGAGTGGGGCAGAATGAAACAGTAAAAAAATTACTGTCTGACTAAATTTAATTTTAAAAAATTGATTAAAAAATTAAGAGACTTGGGATAGATTGTGTCGTTCCGATGAAAAAGGGGTAAACAGGGAAGGTAAATGAATAACTGGAGCAGAAAAACAATGGTCTCCGATAATAATGAAGGATTCAATGCCATCGTTGTTATGGGGAGCTGTCGATTTGATGTCTTGCTTAAATAGATTAAAATTTTACATTACAATGTTCAATAAGAAGAGTTAGATGATTATATGAAATAAAATTGCCCTAATGAGGAGTGCATTTAGCACTTGAAAGGTTGGCAAAGGATTCAGAATAAATAGATAGTTTTGTGCATATCATAACCGCATAATGGCCCTAGGAAGGTGTTGTTATGAAAAAATTAATGAAAATCATGGTTAATCAATTAATTTGCATCATGGTTTTTTTTATTAAATTTTTTGTAAATTTTTTTTCTGTCAACTTTTTGTATTTTTGGGAGTACTGATGAGGATAATAATTTTCCACTCTGCTGAATTCATCATTCATTTGCTTGAATTCGTTTGTCTGACGAAATTCAAGCGAAAAAAATTTTTAATAAAAAAATGGTTAATTAATTAATTTACATCATGGTTTTTCTTTTTATTACATTTTTTGTATTTTTTTTGTCAACTTTTTGTATTCTTGGGAGTACTGACAACAATAATAATTTTCCATTCAGTAGAATGAAAAATTATGGAAAAGTTTTGATGGGCGAAGATTTTGTCAATGGATTATTCGATTGAAATTCAGTATCACATTTNGCTCCCCGCCGTGTCACCCTTTGGGGCTTACTCTGGCCTTTCGATTTTAGTTTTATTTTAAAAATTAGATTCTTATTTTAAATGACAGGAAATTAATTTTATTTCAACGTGCCATAGGTATCGGAGACGTTGAGTCAGGAAACGTCCTCCGGGAATTACGAGACAGATGTCCACGATTCCCCCAGTTGTTCCCCCGCAGAGATGCATTACAATAAAGACAGCCTGTCCGACACCAAGAGGATCGTCGGGAAGGACGAGATAGCACGACTCAAAGGGTTTCGTCTCCACTCGGGGTCTTTGAGGTCTGCAAACGACAAGATGAGCTACCTCCCGAAGAAGGAGAAGCTAGTTCGTGAAGCTAAGGTGGAATCTCCAAAGAAAGGTGTGCACTCGTTCCGGAGTGAGGTTGAGAGGTCTGGCTCTCGGAGCAGTTTGATGAGCTCGAGGAGCTCGTTGAACAGCGCTACTTCTGTCAATACTGTTCGAAAGTTACCGAATCACTCGCCACTGAGGAGCTACACCTCAGCCATTTGTGCCATGACCAATGATCTACGTAAGGGTGCTAATACACTACCTCCTAACAAAGAGAATGATAAACGAAGGGCCACGCCGAAGTCGACGGTCACGAGGATTCCGGCGAGTCGGAGCAGCAGCAGTGGGAGCAGTGTTGGTCCTGTTGTTAGAAATATCCGGAAACACAAATCCGTGAGTTGAAAGTTCATTCTTCAAGTCGTCAAAACAAAATCTCAATTGAAATTGATGAACCTCAATTGAAATTGGGGTTTTGTTTTGCAGGGAATAAAGATTGGGTTGTTGTCCTGAAGAGGATCTCCATTGGAGATCGAAACGTTGACAAGCAAAATTTGATCTTTGGTGTTTTTGCTTCCGAATGAAAGGATTGTATTCTTCAAATCTGACATTTCCATTTTTTTTTGTGTGACGATGACTAATTTTGGACTTAAGAGTTCGAATATGTTGTTTTTAGATCATGTTCGTATGTATGTATGTATGTGAGCTTTTTTTCAAATTTAGTTTTTGGAGGATCATTCAAAAAATAATCGTCGAAATCTTTTGAATTATGAGTTAAAATATTCGTTTGGATGACATCTCGGGCGAGTTCGAAGATAGTGGCGATCGCATCACTTGCTTTGAAATTATAGCCTTAAAAGACATTTAATCGAGATTTAATCATGGTTTAGTTGGGATTTAGATGGAGTTGAGTCAGGGTTTAACCAAGGTTTCGTCAAGGTTTAATCAATGTTGAGTGGAAGTTTAAACCAGTTTAATTTTAATTTATTCGGCGTCTGTTAGATGTTTAACCAAGGCATATGGAGCTCATGTTAGACATTTGGGACATTTAGGGATCATATTAAGGTTTCATAGCTAGTATATCTTCTTCCCCAATTTACCATTCAGAAACACATTACTAATTCATTCGAAAAAAAGTTATACTGGTCTTAAGTCTAGTTCAAGGAAAACTATTCAGGAGAAAAATAAAATTTTAATAATTTACTTACTATCGAGGAGACATCAACATTGACGTATCCGGAGCATGAACTCTTGTGATATCACATTTTACATTCATTTTGTTTTCACGCAATTTGTCTAATTCACAATAAATTCAGCTCACTAAAAAATTTTATCTCAAACAGTCTTTAAAAAAAACTATTCAATTTTCCTGAGGTTAAACTTCAGGAAGGACCCCTACTAATCTGAAATTAATGACAGAAAACCGAATATGGACTTTTTGCTTTTAATTCGATTAATCCATTCGGAAGCAAATTGGTCATTTTTATAAAAAAACCTATACTATTGAAAAAAAAACTATACTATTGATTTAGACCTGTGCAATGGGCCACTTGTTTACTGCTGACCGCCAGGCCATTTGATATATAACCACTACAGTTATTAGGAAAATTTAGATTTGGAGATATATATTCTTCGAAAACTCAGCTAAGAGCTAAGTCTGAATTCAAGATTATATTTACGGAAAACATTACATTACAATTCTTAATTATGTTTACAGGGAATTAATGATACCACAAAAATGGTGACTCCGAAGCCAAAACGAACGATATCAACAAGGAGTGACAGTAACAACAGCATTGGTGCTCCTCCTCTGCTGCAAAATCGTGTCCCAAGCTCAAGAGCGCTTACGTCAACATTAAGTAGAACCAAAATCACTCAACCTCGTAATCACAGCTTCATGAGGCCGACCGCAGCCAGTGTGAACAAAGGGTCGATACCTAATTTAGCGAAGAGCATAAAGAATTTGAGCAACTGATTGGATGAGATCGCAATAGATTTCTCCAATCACCTGTTCGTTTTTTTCAATGCAAAATCACTTTACCCCGTCAGTTCTTTGTGGAAATTGATTCAGTCCTCACTATTCAGTGTCCTTGCCATATGTCCACAAGAACGCTGCGAAATATCATAGATTAATCATCGGACTGATGCTATAAAAAATGTAGATTAATTCACGTCGGTGAAACCCCATTTTTGTACAGAGATGAATGCAAACGAAAATTTTATCAGAAGGTGCAATTGAAGACAGATGAATTCACTCTGGATTAGATCAGGATAAGTCGTTCTCTGATTTGTGCTGAATACAAATAATTTCAGGTGAAAAACGTATGGAAAAAATTGATAGAATTAACTCTATTGAGAATTGAAGCTTTGACTGAACTTTTTTTACTGGATGTGAAAAGTGGATGAAACTTATTAGATGCATATTTTTTCATTTCGATTTCCCATGATCCCCATGACTCATAGTTGGACTATTATTCAGGCCCTTGTGACCCTTCGTTTTTTACTCTTCATTTCTGACCCTTAATTTTGGGGTCTTGATTTCGAATACCAGATTTTCATCACCAGAAGTCGATTTGAATTTTGATAATATAGAGACGGCCTCATATGACCGCCATGACCCTTATTTTGACCCTCGTCACCCTTATTATCCCCTGTGACCCTTAGTTACTGACCCTTCACTTCTGACCCTTAATTTTGGAGTTTTTATTTCGAGTACCACATTCTCATCGCCAAAAGTCGATTTGGATTTTTATAATGTATAGGGTGACGTCAGCACCTTAATTACAAATTTCAGGCAGATACAGCAGAGAAAATCGGGAATTCAATGGTACAAAAACGACTAAAGTCCGATAATAGGCTTTCAAATGTTGAACATTAGAATTTTTCAGTACTTCAGGCAATTACATTGCGATTGACTACCGCCATGATTGGAAACGATGACGCAGTTGTCAATGGAACTCGATATGATAGTTAATATCTCTCTTCATGTTGATAAAATTATCGGTTCATGGCAACCATGACCCGATACAACAATGATCATTGCTCAAACTATCGCACGTAATGGTGTTCCAACTACAGTGGTCACTCCCTAACATTTCGGTTCCCTAACATTTCAGTCGGAGAAGTTGACTTCCCCCACCATCGACAACGTAAATGTGTTGGGTAAATCTGTGGGCCCCTCTGCGCGACGGGACTGCGCAGTAAAATTACTCTCGGCATGTGAACGTGAATCAGGTAGATTCTTCCTCTCTGTTTATCTCTTTCCCAGCTCCGCCTCCAACGGAAGAGTAGGGGCTTCCCGAACATTTAATTCCTTGATTTCTGGCCCCAGAGGCTGAAATGTTAGGGAGTAACCACTGTATCGCGCATAATGTCTAGAGATGCGATGTGACGTCACGAATGAAAAACCGTCAGGTAAAAAAAATATGACCGTCATTGACAGTCATATCGTCTGTTGTCAATAAAATGGTCAAATAAAACTTTGTCATTGAGAAATGATCTATATAGATGCGACATGACGGTCATTTTTTTCCGTGTCACAAAATTTTGTCATGTTTTGCAATTAATAACTACCTACTTCGTAGTTCATTGACTAGAAGTAGTTCGTTAACTACTTCGGGGTGAAATGGGGTTACAGTTTCGCCAACTTTCAGATAAAATAAAAAAAAAATTGGACACCTAAAGTGGTTTCGCCACCACTTAGATGCGATATGACTGTCATAAGGTAAGTCGGTCACATTTTTGTCATGTGACAGTAATTGGTCATTCGTGGATCGGTAATGTGACGTGTCAGTTACGGTCACATGACCGTCATCTGACATGTAATGAAAATTGCTCGCATCTCTAATAATGTCGCTAAAATCATCGCAGTAAACATGGCATAAAGCATGGCGGGAGACTACAATGATGTTATTGGGTAAATCATTGAAAAATTCTAACGCTCACTATTCAACAATTTATTATCGTAATTTCATAATTCTTATGCCATTGAGTTACTGATTTTCCACTCTATATTTCCTCACAATTTGTAAACAAGATGCTGACGTCTCCCTGTAGAAAGAAATGATGAAAATTGATGAGTTACGGCCAATAGACAATGCCTGCCTAATTGGAATAGAAATCAAATAGAATTTTCTATTGAATTCGCTAGGTTTTTCTATCAATCTTCTTGATGCGTGATAACGCCTAATGACTCTCCCAAACTGTACCTTCAATTGAAAAATCATACCTTTTAATATTGCCAAACATATAGCTGTGAGGGGCGTATTATAACGTATTATTACATCTCAAAGTGTCTCGGGTACCTAATGAAATCACGTCTACGAGAGATCACTATCATCCCAATTTTAAACTCCTCCCATAATCAGTTACCAAAGTTCGATGAAACTCAAGGAGAAATGCGCAAGAATTCACCGGATGTTCTTCCAGTCTTCTAGTATTGAATAATTTTTTATACATAATGAATGTTCCGTAACTTAGGATTAAAACGGTATTATTTTTCTGTTCCGGTGCTATGGACGATTCCAAATTGATTCATGTCATGTGCAAACTAACATTTTGTATTGATTTTTATTTCTTACGTTTTAGACTTCATTGATGGCATTAGTATAGTTAATTAATTGTCGAAAGTAAATGATGAATTGTTGTAGAGTTTACCGGTTGCTTTCGATTAATAAATAAATTTTATCGTGACTGATTGTGACGGTTTCATTAATTTCAATTAATAAAGAAGTTTAATCATTCGATTTCTGTGGTTTTCTGGTTTTCTTCATTCCATTGGAGTTAGGGTCATCGAAAAATCCAGCAGAGTTATTTTTCCAAGAGAAACATGAAAATTTTCGCCTGAAACTCTCGTAAGTTAATGAAAAATTGGCGCAATTGGGCAAATCGGATCTCATGTTAAAGCTTATTTAATAAGCTCTAAATTAAGTAGATTGAATATATGGTTTTCTTACATAAAAAGGAGATGTCACACTTTTATGCCTGAATCTTTTGAAAGAGAAATCGCATGCATGATGATGATGATACTGATTTTGGTGATAATGTTAGTGTTGGTGATTTCCAACGGAGTATATATTGATTCTCAACTGAAGTTTTCATGGATTTCGACGAATTTTTCGAGGTTTTTTAATAGAAGTTTCGATAGATTTCTATGGAGAATCCTTGGCATTCTATTGTATGTTTTTATAGCTTTTGCTGTATCTCCTATTGATTCTGGATGGAAATTTTCATTGCTTTGCAATGACAAAAATCATGGATTTTCAATACAAGTTTTATCGCTTCCCACGAATTTCTCTTTAATAATACTATAGAAATTCGTATACGTGAAAAAACATGAGGTATTCTACGCTTAATGAGGCAACCGTTGACCCTCACCCTCTTGGAAATTGATGGCGATTTTTTGTACGACTGGGGGAAGGGGGGGGGGGGGTTTGAAAAACTATCTCGCAAATTTTTTCAGATTTTTTCGGCAGCCCAGTTTGGAGATATGATTTTTTTCTCGTTTTTCCATTTTTTTTCAATAACTTGAGAAATTAAAAATAAAATAGATCCAAGAGGATGCCCAACTTGTATGACGGTTCAAAATACTTGTTTTGATTATAAGAATTACTGAAAAAAATGAAACAAATCAAAAGTGACAAAATTTGCAAAATTGAACGTTTTCAACTTTTTTTTTTTAGAAAATTCGTTGTTATGAGCATCTAAAAATCGAAAAACTAGAAATACTCTTATAGGCAGTAAAAAATGAAAAACTTTGACGTTTAATAAATCAAAATCGGATGGATAGAACTCGAGTTATTGAAGAAAAACGGAAAAACGAGAAAAAAATCATATCTCCAAACTGAGCCGCCGAAGGATTCTGAAAAAATTTGAGAGATAGTTTTTCAATCCTCCCAATCGTAAAAAAAATCGCCATTAAAGTAGCTCTACCCTTACGGTAAATTCAAAGATGATTGAAAACCGCAAAAAACTTCCAGAAAACTCGATTAGATCCGGAATCCTAATTTTTTTCTCAATTTAATTGTCATTTTAGTTTTTCGAAAGGAAATGTTAAAAAATCAGGATTTAACCCGGTGTCTTATGCGAAAATCAACATTTCCATTGTAATCAACCATTAAAATCTGAATTTTTTTTTTCCATTAGATGTGAAAAAATCAAGAATTTTTTTGACACCTTCAAAAAAGGGTGCACCGTTTTGCCAACAAGTTCTATTATTTATTTATAAGAAGGAAATGTTTGAAAAAATATTACTATTTTGTGAAATTTAATTTAGATAAAACGGACTGGGTATGATTTTTTTCAAATTTTTCCCATGCACTTTGGTTGAGAAATTCGAAAACTGAAAATATCCAAAAGTGCAGCGTAGCGCGGCCGAAGGGTAGAGCTACTTTAATTTCCAAGGAGGTGAAGGTCAACGGTTAACTCATTTGGCGTGGAATACCTCATATCGATTCCAATCAACTCAAATAATGAAGTGATGAAACATATAAAATCTATCAAAAATTGTTAGGCGCGCGGGGCGCGCCTTCGATTTCGTACGAAAAAGGAAGAACAACTTGAGCATAAAAACCAAAGGAAAAACCTTGATTACAGACACGCATTTTTCTAAAAGGGAATTTATCTTGTAAACTAACATCGAGAATCATCAAAAATCTTCCACTTGGGCATCATTATTTCATCAGATGAAGAGAAACTCCCAGGTAAAAGGAAGGAAATCATGAAACAATTTCAATCAACACAGAAACATATATTTTCACTTATAATCATATCGGGAAGTGAAATTTTCACATGTCTCGTTAACTAAAATATCAGTGCTATAAATTTCCTACATCTCGAAGGCGGTTGGTTAACACAAGACGTGGGCGTAGAAATTGACTCTTATCGTTAGGGAGACCACTGGGCAGTCGAGATTGTGATGCAGGTGAAACGTGACACCACAAGGCAATAAGCCATTCAATTTATGTATAGTTCTATCCAGGAGAAAAAGACAATTTTTCTCCTTGATCATTGGTAGGAGGACAGTACCGTACGATTTTTCATTGCTTGAATAACAGTGACGAAGACAGGATACATTAATGAGATATTAGTGTCAGTCTTTAACCATTTGAGCAAAAAATATACGTGTGGAATATTAAATTAGTCAATTTTTATGAAAATCTCTTGACCTGATTTCTAGACACTCAATAATAAAATTATTGTAACGATTTCACGGGAGGAAAACTAAAATGAAAAACCTTGCAGCTTCTTTAGGAATTCTCTTAAAATTCCGTTGGAATTCTCTGGAAATTCAACTTGAGAAAAATTATGCCGATTTCTAGTGAAAATTATGAAACTTTGCCTTACGACTTTTCAATTTTTTTAATTGATGTTTTATGGAAAAAGTCGATAGATTTTTATATTTTTTTTGTATGCATAATTCTGTTGAATTTTTTAATCTGAATTTTTTAGGAAATTGTTGGGCGTAAAGTCTTCTATTTTTTGTGTTGTATTTTGTTTGTTTTCCATTACAAAATCAAGAAGAAATGGGAAAATTCATGCCCAAACTTACGATAGAAAATTTAACATTTATTGAGTTTTTTCGATAAAATATCTGTTGAAAAGTGATGCAAAATTGCACAATTTCTAATATAAATCATTGCAAAAAATGGAATTTCAGTGGAATTCCTATGGATGTTCAACGAAAATTCAACAGAATTTTTAGAGACAGCTTTCGGTTCTTGTAATAAATTTTCCGCTAGAAGAATTTCAAATGCATAACTTCTCTGAGAGTATAATTTTTTCAAGTTTTCAAATTATGCAAGTTTTCTATACAATTTTAAATTTTGTTTTTGAATGTGAATTTCTATACAAATTCGTGGTCATAATTTTTTAATTTTTTCCACTGTATTTAGTTCATTTTTCATTGCAAAATCTATTAACGTTTTTGTACAAAATATCTTTTGAAAACTAATTTTCAATGAAAATCATTGCAAAAAATTGAATTTCAATAGAATTCTTCTAGATTTTCAATAAAAATTGAATAGAATTTTAGAAAGTTGACATGACATACTTTACTCTCTAGTGAAAATTATGCAACTTTTCTATGAAAAATTAAATCAATATATAATGGAACCAATTTCATGGAGACATTAAATGAAATAATTCATCGAGGATTTTTACGTTTTTGAATGTGAATTTTTATACAATTTTTTTTTCGTTTTTTTCTATTGTATTTTGTTTGTTTTTTATTGCAAAATCCAGGAAAGAAATACTCGTAAAATTTATCCTTGAGAATTACGATAAAAAGGCAAAATCTATCAACTTTTCTCTATAAAATATATTTTGAAAAATAATTTTCAACTGAAATCATCGCAAAAATGGGACTTCAATAGAATTTTAGAAGAAAACATTAGATTTCGTTTTTTGAATCCTTCCATGCGCGATCACCAAATGAATGGAAAAATTTCAAATGCACAACTTTCCTCTCTGATTTTTCGAGTAGACATGGTAAACTTTACTTTAGCTTCCAATCAAAATTGTCTAATCATTCTTCATTAATACTGAATTACAATGAATACCTCTCGTCGACAGATTGACCTCGGAGAGCTCAGGAAAGATCAGCAATAAAACAAAAAGTCATCCGAGAGATACTTTCCTCCCAGGTATTCTCAGTCATTTCTTCAGGTGACGTGTCAGTGGAAAAAAAATAAACAACCATGCAGAAACTAATAATTTAAGATTCAATACCGATAATTCAAAAAATAAACTCAATTTATTTAAAAATTTCACATCTATCTATCTACATGATAAGATTCAATGATTAGACAATCCTGATGTATTATTACAATGGCCGAGAAATATTAAATTGACTACAACATTTGTAAAAAAAAAAATACAGTAATAAATATGTTCAGTTGGACTTATGAGTGCCGAAATAAAATCTAAATAAAATAGTAGATGTACTACAATACTTAAAATAATCAGGGACAGAAGACAATAGATATAAATTAGTGGGCAATAATAACGAAAAAAACAGTGCGCGACAAATAATCGATGACTTTTTTTTAAATAGATTCTTGACGATCACGGAATGTGATTGATACTGGCCCCTTGGGGGCTAGTATGAATTCAAATTGCAGGGATAGCTCCTCTTCACAGGTGATTTCGAACTCCTGGACGACCTGGAAGAAAACAAAATCAAGAATTGAAATGATTTGACGATTTATTTCACAATAATTCGAGATACGAGGGTTTTGTTGCCTAGGGTGAACCGAGCAGTGTTTAAACGAATAATACTTTTGACGCACACTGTTAAAAAATCGGGCTGCACGCACGAAAAAATTTCATAGAATCACCTATCGAATTCGTTAGAAAATTCTATTGAATTTCTATTAAACTTTCTATTAGTTTTTGGCTGATTATATTTTTCTTTTCTTCTCATCAAGAAAATCAAACGAAAAAACATGGAAAATTTGAGCCGAGGAAATTCTATAGAAAATATCTCAATATAATAAGTTATATAGAAAGATTGAATTCTATTGACTTTTTCTACTGAATATTTTCTATTGAACATTTCAACAGAATCGGCCAAAAACTGATAGAACAGTTCAATAGAAATTCAATAGAATTTCCTAACGAACTCGATAGGTTTTTCTATTAAATTTTTTCGTCCGTGTGAATTTGCCGGAAAAAGAACTTGAATTCTATTTAAGGGAAAAAGTCCAGGGAATTTCAAGTTTTTCTGGAAATTCAAGTGAAGTTACATTTTTTTAACGACAGGAAGACGGAAATTCCATAATTTACATGAATTTTCAAGTGAAAATGAATATTCACTGCCGAATTCCCCTGAATTTTCAGGCAATGCTATTGAAATTCTTGGAATTCCAGGAATTTTTGAAGGAATTCCCTGAAAATTCATGGGAAGCTGGAATTCAACGAGAGATTTCCGAGTTTCATGATTTTTCATTAATTTTCCCGAAATAATTGAACTAAAATTTACAGTTCCCCCGGATTTCTTTATGAAACTGAATTATCAATGACAAAATTTATCCGGAAACCAATGATAATTATAATTTGCAAAATTCAACTTTTTCAACTTTTGTTTTTAACAAAGTTTTGGTTAAATCTATAGTGCGGTCTGTATCAAACTGTAAAGGATACTCGGATATCCTTAAGCCAAATATGTCCTTGCTGTTGAAGCAGAATTATTCATGTCTGAAACCTTCAAACTCGAATCAAACAATTTGCTTTTTTTTATAATTTTCAACTAACGATTTTTTTTTGCCCAAGCTTGTTTCAGAACATGTTCGTTTAGCTATCAGTGCCGCCAGTTGACCCTATTATGGGAAAAATCAGAATAAAAACTCACTTTTGCAATAATGAGATACAGCGCCTGCTCAACAAATCGCTTCCCCGGACATATTCTCCGGCCAACGCCGAATGGTGCCACAAGCACTGGCGAATGTGGCTCGGTGTGTTCCAACCACCTCTCGGGCATCCATTCATCGGCATTTTTAAAATTACTTTCCTTCAATCCTGCTATCCACGTATGTAAAAGAACCACAGTCTAAAGTTGGAAGAAATTTCAGTTTGGTATTTAAGTATTTAACATGTTAAATTCAATAGTGAAGAGGAATGGAATAATTTAAAAAAGAATGAATATAAATTATAAAAGAATTATCAATTGAACTTGAATTATTCATAAATAAAAAAAAACTTGAATTATTCGATTGATTCAATTTTCCAATTATTCAATTATTCAATTTTTTTTCCATGAAGATATGAAAATTCTTCTTGGCAAATAAAAAAACATATATCAATGAGAAATTTTACTATCTGCCTTCAACTTCCAGTGAAATTATCCACTTCACTACCGAATTGCTTTTGTCCGTAATTTTTTTATCTTCAAAATTCTTACCCCAGCATTCAGATGATAACCAGAAAGCTCAATAGAATCATCGAGGATGCGTGCGATGCAGGGAGCAGTTGGAATCACCCTAATATTTTCAAAACATCCCATTAAAAAAATAATAACAGTAATTAATCGTAATTATTCATCAATTCATTTGATCGTACCGAAAGCCCTCCTGCACACACGCCCTAAGATACTTCGCACTCCGCAGATCCTGAACTTCAATATCACAATTTCGTGGAGCTAACGTTTCAACTTCTTCATGAAGAATTTTCTGTACCCTAGGATTACTTCCGATCAGATGAAACATAAATACCAAAGTGTTTCCCAACTGCAAAAATATGTCTAATTTTGTTATCTCGTATAATACAGAAGAAATAAAAAGCAAAGGGGGCATTCAAATATTACGTCACAAGATTAGGGGGAATGGGATGAAGGAGTACGTACGGAAAAATTCAATAGAAACCTTAACGAATTCGAAATCGTGTGAATTTTAAGCGAATTCGCTAGAAAATTCGATTGAAATTCTCTAGAAATTCTACGGGAATTCTGTTAAAATTCTAAAGAATTCTCGTTAAAATTCTGTTCGTCTTCTGCACAGATTCTATTAGATATTTGATAGGAAAAAATCAATAGATTTCAATTTTTCTTTTTGAATTTTTGAGATTTTTTCTATTAAAACTATTGAGCACGGATTTTCTAAGTTTTTTCCGCTACATTTTGTTTAATATTTTATAAATGTATACATTTTTTTTCATTTATTCAATATATTTTTTTACATTTGTTATAGAATTTCCTCGCCTCTAATTTTTCAAGCTTTTTTGTTTCATTTTTGATGAAAAGAAGAGAAAAATTGAATGAAAAAAACAGAGAATATTTGAGCCGAGAAAATTCTATAGAAAACATCTCACTAAAATAAGTTGTACAGAAAAATCGAAATCTATTGACTTTCCAGAGAATAAATTTTTCTATAGAATATTTTCTATTGAACCTCACGACAAAATCGTCCAAAAACTAGTAGAATGTTCAATAGGAATTCAATAAAATTATCTAGCGAATTCGCTAGGTTTTTCAATTAACCCTAGATTGGTCCGCTGTATTATTACTGCAGAATAAACCGTAAGGTTTAAATGCTTACAATGAAAAAAACCCTAAATTGATCACCAAACGAGAGAAACTTCACCGCGCGTCCTTTTTCGTTGATTGCAATTGACTGGCTAACCATAAAAATTATCAATTGAAGTGTCTAAAGAACTATAGTATATACCGATACGCTGCCGCGTATCTCGATTAGAACAACATATTTCCCGAAATTCCTAAAGAAAACCAATAATTTCGAACAGAAGAATTATTTTTTCCCATGTTAAATGAAATTGCGCATCACGCGACGTTGCCGGAAACCCGCTAAATGCGCCCGGGCAGTGTAAAGTGAATTCGGCAATGCTAGAACCTAAATAACAAGGCGGGGAATCCCCGCGGAGGTGACCAGAGTCGCCGGTTCGCGTTCGGTGTCCAGACTACTGTCGGACGGACCAGTCCGTTCCCTTCGTTTTCAGAGGCGGGAGATATGGATGTGAATTTCTATAGAATTTTCGTATATGATATTCGGATATTTCTACACGGATATCAGGTCTTTATTCAAATTATTCTTATACGATTTCTATAGGTTCGATCGTATACAACCAACTGCCACATGTATAGAAACATTTCGTATGGAGTTACGACATTTCTCTGTGTTTTTCTCTGGAGCGTTTAGACATCTTTCGTATGAAAACAAAAATTTATCTAAAAATTTATGTATAGAAATAATTTGTATAGAAAATATTCGTATAGAAATATCCGAATATCATATACGGAAATCCTATAAAATTTCTATACGATTTTTTCATACGTCTTAGTCGAAGTGGGGGTCGACACGAAGGGAACGGACTAGTCAGTTTGCCTATAGGGTTAAATTTTTTCGTACGTGACAGCTTGCAACTAAGGAGCTGACCAGAAAAGTATCTAAAAACACGTAACATAATATTCGAATGGTCCCAAATGAGTGAAAATAATACAGGATTATTCATATTCTCACCGTGTGAATGCCAGCAGCTATGAAATCTATGATCGCCGCCTTCTTGTCCCTCATATCTAAATTCTTCTCCCTCAGAATGGATTTGAAAACAGCCTCCACTGCCTCATCCTTGGCATCATTCATCTGCTCGCATATCGTCGTGTCCAACAGCTCAGACACAATGTTATAAATCTCATCCTCACTCTCGATGAGCTCCTTGTAAGCGGTGGTCGGCATAACTTTCCAGAGTGGCAATCCGTAGAATGCATCTCTCGAAGCTGTAAAGTGAACTCTGACAGCCTGAGCGAGTCTTGCCGTTATGTTCCCTGATGTGGAGTTCAGGAAGCCCAGGTGACGACCTAGAATCAGCGTGCAAGTGCTCTCCAGTCCCATCCTGTAAGCCAACTCTTCGAACCCTTCGATTTTATCGTTGACTCGTCTTATCCGGATGAGGTTGATGAATTCGTCTGCAACTCTGTTGAGAGCGGGGAAGAATCCTGAAACTGTGCTTGCTCCCATCAGCTCGGGGGTGAGGGCTGAACGCAGTTTGTGCCAGGTTTCACCTTGTCTAGAGTATAAAGAGATTTATATTTACAACTAATCTATAACAAGAGTCGAATATTTTGACCTGAACAGCCCTCACTGAATTGTTCTAGTTATGTCCCCTTTAGGAGGTTTCAGGTTTTCTAAGGAGTTGACCGAGTCGAATATTTCGGTTTCGTTTAATCTCTGGACTTTCAAAGCCTTTTGTGGCTTTCGACTGGCCGCCGACTAATTTTTTACTCTATGAACACCTGTAAAAACCTAAAAAAATCTCCGGTAATCCCTCTCTAGTCTATATATTTTAAATAAATAATTAACTGGAATTTTCCGTTAAAAAAATCATAAAATTGTGAATATTTGGCTCGGACACAGAGTTGTACACTAGTTGTTGAAATTCATCAACTATTTGTTGAAACAATGAATTATTTTTATTGATGCAATTCACTGCATTGTTATTCATATTTTTTAATTTTTCATTAAATGAAATCTCATGCCAAAAGTAAATATTTATTGATTTCGAAGGCTGTGTTGAGAATTTCGTTGAATGTGTGTGTGTTGAATTTGTGTTATAATTTACGTTTGTCATTTTGATATGTAACCATCAGTTATTGAATTTCAACATCCAGTTGGTGAAATTTAACAACTAATTAATCAATTTCGAATTTTTAATAACGAAATTACGTGGAATTTGAAGGGGAAAAAAATTCCAAGGACTTCACGGTAATTCTCAGTCAAAAATTTTTAACAGTGTTATCTATAAAAAGCTCTAATTCGCTAAATTCAATCGAATTTTAAGTACCACACTAGATGATGAGGGCATATATGTATATATTTGGAAACAATCCCACAATCATTTGTATCTTGATGATCGATCAATGTCTCGCCTAGAAGATTTCGCAATAATCTACAATTTGTTGTTAAATTTGATCAATCAAAAAAGTTGACGAGTATTTCTCAAAAATTTAATAAATGATTGTCGAATGAAATTGAAAAATCTTTTTTGAATTTCAATTAATTAGTTGTTCAATTCCACCAACTAGTTGCTAAAATTCACCAAATAATTTTCTCCGTGTAATATTTAGTTACAATTTAGTCACAAACGAATATTGAGGTGGATAGGGGTCTTTCTCCCGAATCCTTGGAAAACCTAGAAACCTCCTAATCGCGAAATAACTAGAATAATTCAGCCGTCATCTTCCGGACTTGTTAATTTTTCAATGTCTCCGGAAAGTTTTAAAATCGATATATTTTTTCGAATAATGGAAGAATACCCATAAATTCGATTTTTATCCTCGTCTTTTGATAGAAAGAATAGAATAAATGACAGAAATCGAGAATTAGAGACTAACAATTTTATCGGATTATTATTATGTAATTGTTCAATCGGGCAAAATTTGTTGAAAGCTTTCTTCAAATTTTCCATCTATTAGATTTTCTTTTCCAATCAATTCCATTTAGAAAAATCTCCAAAGTAAATGGAAATAAAAATATCAAAAATTCGAGAAATGAATCAATCGAAAAAATGAAATGTATGAATACTCACTCATTAACCAGACCGAGATTGGTATAACGATCTCGTCGTGATTGCCGATAGTTGGATATTATCTCCTGCGGTGGTCTCAACGGATACCGCGACGCGCGTTTCATCACTGCCTCGATGTCCCCACGAGAAAAGAGCGATATCACTGGGTAATTCCACAGGGCTTCCTCCTTGCACAGTGGACCGTATTGTAGATTCATGTCTGCTCTTAAATCAGGGATTAGCTACCGGGTGATCCATCAGTCAGTTTGCTAATTAGATTTTATGGCTTGAATACCGTTGATGTCCCAGTAAGTGCAACAGTCCCAGTTTCCGCCACCCCCAGCAATTTTTTTAAGGATAGATTTAAAAATTTACCGACCCGCGTCGAATATATATTTGGGGATCAATTTTGGATAATCAGTGATATATTCCTGAAAATCAAAACTCTTGAGGCGCTCCCTGATGCTACACCGTTAGAAAAAAATGAATTTCATGGACATTTGACTACTAATTTTCAGGACAGTAAAAATGAATGCGATTTCGGAGGACACAAATCATGAAATTTCAGGTTTCACTGAAAATTCAGTAAAATTACAGAATTTTAAGCAGCATAAACACGAGAATTCCTTAACTTATTTGAATTTCCAATGGAATGTGAATATTCAGTGCCAAAGTACATTGAATTTTCCGTGAAATCTGGAATTTCATGATTTTTTCCCCCTAAATCGCATTCAGCGTCACAATCCTATTTTACTAAAGATGAAAGAAACGTGAAGTTGTTTTATATCGAAATATCGCGAAACTGCCTGACCGCTAATCCTTAATTCTGATTGGTCAATATGTGACACGAAGTTATTTACAAAAAAAACATGTGGCATTTTCAAATTCTTCAGTGGTAAATTTTTTTTTCACGTCATATAGGGGACCGTGGGGCAAAATGAAACACGGGGCAAAATGAAACAACAAGAAAATCTTGTGATCTAAGGGAGATAGAACGATTTTCATGAAAACCTTTTTTGTAGAGAATTTTACAAGCTACAAAAAAGGTCCTCTTCAAAAATGTCCTATCTCCTTTAGATGACGAGATTTTCCCACTGTTTCGTTTTGCCCCATGCTCCCCTATATATTTCACATGTATATATAACATCGGTGAAATTAATAAATTCTGTCCTTTTATGGAGACCGATTATTTAAAAAAATTGAAGATAATTAATTAAAAATGAAAAATTCTTTATAGATTCTTTTACTCTACTTCGCTATTCACTTCAATCATTAGTCGAATTCTCTTTGACTCATTATCAATATTTATAAGGTATTCATGAGAAAATGAAATTCAATGAATTCCATTTCTTCATTTCAACAAATGAATAGATCAGCGCGCGCGAGAGCGCGCGCATAGATCTTGTCCTAAAAATTCAAGAATATATTTACCAGAATTTTCTAGTTTTCCATCCATTTTCTGGAAAAAATGTATCTGAAATTTACAGTTCTCTTCGCGGGGCTCTCACCCCCAAAATCAAGTAAATCTCAATTATTGTAAGGTGTAACTTCTCATAATATTATTAAATTAATGATTGATGCCGATCTGTGAAATGTGCCGTTTCGTTTACTTGTGCTGGAATTTTCAGCGCGTGTGATTGGCAGCCCTGAGCTTCGCCTCAGGCCGCCAAGTTCGCACTCGTAAAAATTCCGTTTCACTTGTATCGAAAGAAATATACTATTTCTCTGCGTTCCCTCAACGGAGGTTTTGCCAATGGACAA